TTTTTCACACTAGCATATAAAAATCATAGTCATAAAACAAAATAAAATGGAGAATCAATGATGATACAAAAACATGTTAATTAAAAACCTTTATTTAAATAATACATAAATACTTTAAAGTTTTTAATCTTCTTCACAACAGATATAAAAAATTTACAACTGAAGTCTTTTGTATACATAAATGTTTAATTTGAATAATTATACTGATGAACTTCTTTCCCAAACATCCTCATATCTAAAGTGTAAAAAAGAATAAAATCAAATTTAAATATGTTAGTCAAACACAATGGAGATAGCTTACTTTTATTACTTAAAATAATAATAAATAAAACTTTAAAAATAGTTAAGTTCTGGAAGAAAATATTTAATTTTTTTCCCCTTGGAAGCATTAAATTTTTATGTAAACACACAGTGAAAAGGAGGATCTTTAAGAAAACACTTGAAATTTTCTTTAAAAAAAATTTATTAAGATGATTCTCAATATTTACTTGGTATTGAGTAAGAAATACTGTGTATCCAGGAAAGAGCGATATTGCAACAACTCAAAAAACAATAAAAATATTAACAAGATAAAGTTTTAGAAAACATAAGTTTGCTTATTTTTGTAGAAAAAGTGATTGTTGAAAAGTATTTTCTAATTTTTGAATACTTTAATTCAAACTGTGAAATTACTTCGGGTCTGAAAAAGAGTAAAACTTACTGATACTTAAATTTTTAGTTTAATTAAATTGTCGTGACACTTGAAAGTAAGCTTATTATTTAAATTTAAAAAAGTGCTAAAAACTTATATTATTTAAAATTTATGAATCTTATTTTTGTTTTCTATTATTTAATCTGGTAAAAATTTTGTTAAAAACAAAAGAGAGATTAAATTACACAATGAACATATGTTCACTGTTGTTCCAATAAAAAATAAATCCTAATTATTAATTCTCGAAAACATTTCTGCATGTTCAAAAAATCTTAAATTATATGTTTCAGGTATGAGATTCTTCTGACTTTTGGCAGAATTTTCGACTTTCTTGATCAGAATATTTGTATACAAATATTCAAATTATAAAGATATTTAGACATTTTCAAATATTCAAAATTGTAAAGACATTTTCTAGAGTAGAAAATGATAAAAGAAACTACTTTGTCAAATATCTATTTTTTCTTAATATTTTTACATTAATTTGTTGTTTATTATTATTTTACTTTCTTTGTCATGATTTACATATGAAGTTTAACAGTTTGATAGTAAAAAAAAAAACTTTATGTTTGTAAATAATTTAAATTTTCTGTTTGTGCAAAAAATATTTTCTATTACTTTCAAACAGAGTTATACTTACTAGCATATACTTTTTTATTTTTCTTAGTTTTTGTTCATAGGTATTTTCAGACTTTTAGTTCTTTTTTTACTCTATGCATAGAATTTGGAATGCTTAGAAAACAAATGTTTAAAATTCATGATCTTTTCTCATTCAGTTCAAAAGCAAAAAGTTAAAAAAAATTTAATTTTTTGTACATTGTAAGACACAAAGAATTCTTTGAATAAAAAATACAAACATGCCATGTGCTACAAAAACTCAATATGTGCACTTCATTTCATAAATGTATGCCTTAATTAACTTAAAAGCAAATGATGTGTTTATTTATAGTTCAAAACTAATCACTTAACAGATTATAATTTTCAAAGTAACATTTTAGTAGTTTTCTGTATTCTGTCAATAGTAGTGGAAGATTTCTGTATCATGATCTGCAGCTGAGCAATTGCCAAGACTTGGCAACTTCTGGCCAGTGAAAAGCTAAGAAAAAAATCTCAAAAGGGGACCAACTTGAGAGGTTTAACTCGTAGCCCATCTCCCGGAAAACCCACACGTCTTTTTAAATTAAAATTTTGAAATCTTGTTGGCACTCTAGCGACTGCAGTTTGCACACAGATCACGATATGGAAACTCCCCATGCAATTCATTACACATTTAGAAAGCAGAAAATGACGAAAATAGTTATTCTCATAACCATTTCTTATATTAATCCCTTTGGTGAAATTAAGCAATATTTTTTCAGTAAATGCTATATCAACTTACATTAAGTATACATTGGTATGGAACTAAACTCAGCAGCGCGACAGCCCTAGAGGGCCAAGGCATACTGTGCCCATCTCAGTTCTCTTGACCTTGGGCTCTGGGGTGCAGATGCAGATGTTCCGTTCAGGTGGTCAGCCGAACGCGGAACCCCCAGTGTTTAGTTCCCAAGCATGCTTGGCACTCATTTATTGACCCACTAAAGGGATGAAAGGCTGAGTCAACCTTGCCCGGCCCGAGGATCGAACCAGGGACCTGTGGCACGACAGCGCGAAGCGCTACTGCTCAGCCACCGGGCGTCACATTGGTATGGAAGTAGAATATATTTGAGAAAAACCTGGGAAAAAATTGGTTATTTTCATGAAACATGGCATGAGCTGTTTTTTTCCCCCCTTACAAACCCAGATTTTGGGTTCATAAATAATATTTTTTCAAGCATAATCACTTAGCCACCCCATTTAAGAACAACAAACATGCCAAAAAGATAGTATATAAGATTTTAAATCTTAATTTATAATACATATTCCTTTTCCAACTTACACAGCATTTCCATCTATTTAAAACTATCTAGCACTGAATGTTCAACTTGCAGTGTATTGGATTCTATTTGAAATTAGCCAATAAAATAATAAGTAAAAAGATAAATATATATATACACACACTTTAAGATAAAAGCAGTTATGTTAATACTATAGTAATAATTATAAGAATATTTTTATATTTAATATCCTCAATACAAAATAGAGTCTCTATACTGTTTACGTTTGAAAGCCCTTGTTTTCCTCATAAATAAAGTGATGTCTGAAGCAAGGAAAGATGCTCAACTTGTTCTATTACATAACAAGCTCTGCTTTATGTAAGCTTGAGTAAAAGAAAAACCTCTTCATATGCATCAAAACCAATTTTTGTCTGTATTTAGAGCACAAAAAAGAGAGGACTTTATAAGGATGGTTAACTTAGCTACATCACAAAATGAAAATTTGACTAATCGTCCATTTTTGGATGGTTATGAGTTAAACCCTTAGAGTTGATCACCTTCTGTGATGTTTTTCTTTTTTAGTTTCTGATTGGTCACCTGACTTTGCATTTATGCTGCTACAGATCACGATACAGTAATCTTTCCAATTCAAACAATCAGCAAGGCAACCAAAAGAACATAAACAAAAATAAGTACACAAATAAAAAACTACAAAAGATTATTCCTAATGCTCAGAGTAAATGAACTCCAATCATTGTTTTGTAGGGAAATAAGCCAGAAAATAAACTTTATAAAAATAAAATAAAAAAGATTAATAAAAACTTTACTTCAGAAATCGATATTTTTCCAAATGCGAGAAACTAAAAAAAATTTTGCTTTCAAGTAACAGAAACAGAACTCCACAATATCCACTCGAGCAAACTTCTACATATTTCTTCATATATAAAAGAATTTGCAAGTTTAAAATCCATAGTTCGCGATAAAAAAATATCCCCAAATTAAAAAACCCATTGTAGTATTTGTCAGTAAAAAAATCTAATTATATTTAATACAATATTTTGGAGTTTTCTTTTTGCAAGAAATTTTGTTTCTAACCCTTCATAATTTTATAATAAAAAAAGCATGCAATAAATTAATTCAAATTTAATAGCTTAGAATTGTAATTACAAGTGCTACTTACCGATTCTTTCACTACACTGGAGTACGAAATTAAGAGAATTTTTAGACTTGGTTGATTATCTCTAGAACTACAGGACCGATTTTAATGAAATTTGATTTGTACATACATTGATACAATACAAAGCAAATAATAATTCAATGATTGTATTACATACGCATGATAGTGCGTATCACTCGGTTGAAGTAGGAAGGTATGAAACAGCAGGAATGTATGAAACGCTATAGGGTTGAGGTCTGAAGAATCTGTCTCTCGATAGATCCGGTATCCTGGAACTGTTTTCATAAGTTACATACGACGCTGGACGTTAAATTGAACTCTCTGTAAAATCTGGACCTGAGATTGGTTTGTTCCTATCCTCCTCATGGTGGTTTCTAATTTTTTCTGTTACAATCTGAATTTAACCTATGGTTGCAAAATAATACATTTAGATAGATGTTTTTTTCAGCAGTAGTTTCTTTTCAGCAGTTCAAAATTAATAACAAGACAACCAATTTCTGCTGCTTGTTTCTGTACAGTCTTCTTCTCTGATATTGTAGTAGACTGATAAGCCTTGGGATTTATAATTGTTACGATTCTTTATTGTGACCAACAGCAGAGTAAAACTGTGACCATGACATCTTCCAAAGTCGGCTAACTGAAAAAATGGAATTGTAGTTCTGTAATCAGGTTTTTGTATTACTACTAGAAGCTGTCAAGCTGAAAAAGGAGAAAAAACTTTTAAAGTATTTCCAAAATATATGAAAAAGTAAATAGTATATTTTACTTTTGTTTCGAATAAAAGTAAAGGTCATGAGTAATATTTAATATACAAAGACTAGTCATAAAAACTTGCAAATGCTTCGAAAATCATGAAGTTTTTAGTTTTCTAGTCTTGAACGATTCTAAAATAAGAAAAGAAATTTTTGTATTCAAAAGATTGGAAAATATTCTATTATGTGATCCTGCCGAATATTCAGTTTTTCAGGGTTATTCTGATTACTGTATTAAATATTTTTATAAGAATCCTACTTATCAATTTGAAGAATGTGTTATTTACGTGCGGTTAGAGTTGTGTTGTTTGTTTATTCTTTAATATTATCAATTCTTTATGAGCAGTTAAGGTTATACAATACTTTTTATATATTTTAATGGCGTGAAACTGGAAAATATTTCTTTTCTGTAAACCTTAAGTTATTCTCATGTTTATCCTATTCACTGTTTTTACTGTAAATTTTTATGCAGTTTATAATTTTTTAAGAAACAAAAAAGTTACGAAAATATATAGTATCTAATATGTATGTTCATAGCAGTAACAGTATGTTCCTTCCTGTTTAAAACAGTTTTTCTTTTTGTCATTGATCACATTTTTTATTAATCCTTTTTCTTTGTGAGGGATATTTTCATATTAGCATCTGTTCACATAAACTACAACTACCAAGATGCCAAAGGGATTTTGAATATGCAAAAATTAAAATTTATGAGTGTATAAATATTGTAGAGGTTTGACCAGGTGACGGCTGCAAGGTATGCCTTTTAATTAATTTCTCTTCTGTGGTGTTACTTTGAGTTTATCGGGTGGGAGAGTATTCTATATAATAGAATAAATAATAGCCAAGGCTTGGCCATTATTTTGGCGCTAGTGGCAAAAAGAAATCATCCTTTTATATGTTGAATTAAATATTGGTCTTTTTTCTTTATAAAATAGTTTTTAATGTTTTGCCCATTCTCTTTCTGATGCGAATATTTCTTTTTTTATTCGTTTTATTTAAAAGTGACCCCCCTCTCTTTGGTTTTTCAAAAAGTTGCAAGGTAGAGAGTGTCTAACATAAGTGTTTTTATGTCTCGTTTAACAACAAACAAAAAAATTATAATAATTTTCTTATTGTTTTGTCATGAGCCGTAGGTTGTGCACCACTAATGTTTTTATGTGTATAGAATAGAATAAATATAATTGTAGAAAACATTTATACTGACTGAAAGATTATTTTGAACTTCTTTATATATGATCATGTTTGATTGACTTCGAAACTGTAAATTAAAAGCTCTAATTTTTAATTATTTTTCATCATAGTTTTTTTTTTTAGTTCAAATGAGTGTTGCTAAGAAACTGCTGCATGTTTATCAAAAACATCTAAGCTGTGGGTTCTACTTCGACATCTCACTGCTTAAAAGGGAAGCTGTATGTCTGATAATTTAAAAGATTCTTTAGGTAAAACTTTCTTCTTAATTTTATTTTATTTGTACTTGTTCCAGTTCCTTTTCCCACGTCAAGTGCTGAGTAATTTAATTTTTTTTTCTGATATAAGTCAATGCAATTTATTGCTAGACAATTCCATGAAAACCAAAATATTAAACTTTCAAACTTTACCAATATTAATGTATCACATATATTTTAAAAGCTTACTATATAAAAGCTAAAATATTATATTTATACTAATACTCAACTAAAACATGAATTTTTGTTTAAAAACTAGACATATTAGTTCAAGAAATGGGAGAAATTAATCAAACATACTCTTTTAATATTTAACAAAGTATTAGCCTTTAATCTGTTTGAAATATTTTTAGTAAGATTATACTGCAGTTTTGTTAGGAGAAATGAATTTTTAAAAAATATAATTAAAATTTCTATCAACAAATTTTTTTGTCAACTCCATAACAAAAGTTAAATAGCAAGTAAAAATTATTATTTTGTCTAAATTAATCATTATTAATTTTAATCTTTTCTAGTCTTTTTTTTTTTATTGTGTTAATGGCAAGTTAAATGCTATCAACATTTTTTTTTTCAAGCAAATAATTTTTTAAAATATTGGTGTTTAAGATGTAATATTTTGTGTTATGGACATAACATTATAGTTTGTTTACTCGTAACAGATAAAGAGCTAGAAGATAAAAAAATTAAGATCTGTATATTAAACTAATAAGTATTTTTGGGAGAAATATGTAATATTCCTAATACATATATACAGTTCAAAGTTTCATATCCGGAAGTCTGTTTACCAGAAGGACCTTTCTTCTGGACACTCTGAACAAACAAAATAAAAATAAATCATTTCCCTTTTCCAGAAAAAAACTTTTATTTTACATTTGCTACCTATTAAAAAATAGTCTACAGGGATGAGTAACCTCCCCTTTCTTATGATTTTTACCGGACTCCTGATTTTTGTTCGCTTTTAATCCAATTCCACTATAATCTGAAAAAGAAAAAAAATTAGACCACAGAAATGAAATTCGGGATTTCTCTACGGCCCGAAAAAAAATTTTTTTTTTTTTCTAACATTTCACCTAAAAGGATTACTACCACCGTGAATCACATACTCAATTTCAGAGGGCGCAAAAACTTTAAATTTTGGAAAAAATGCAGATTTGATATTAAATAGTCATAACTAAAACAGGTTATTAAATTATTACTCAAAAGCGCGATTCGAAATTTGTGGTTCATAATATTTTTTTAAAAACGAAATCAGAATTTAACAAACTATGTGGAAATTTCAAACTGTTAAAAATGTGATTGACAAAACCAGGTAGACTATAAAATCGTCACAGATCGAGTGCATCAAAAGTAATTCTACAGGTGTGCTATTCGAAATTTCCAGTGTATGATAATATATCATTAAAAAACTATGAAAATCTGGCAAAATAATTGACAAAAGTGTGATGGTAAATCCATGTGGAATTGTGGGTGAATAGTCAATAATTTAGGCCAAAATGTGTGATTCGAAGTTTACTGAACGAAATAATATATTTTAGCATTGAAATTTTAAAAACCAAGTGAACATCCGTTTTAATAACTACTGAAAAATGATCTTCAATGTCGCACAGAGTCACTGTGGAATCATCGTTAATCGAGTTGATCAAAAAATGATTACTAATCGAAATGCGTGATTCGGAATTTGCAGCATGTTATAATGGCATGTTAAAATATTGAGATGTTAAAAACCATGTAGAAATCTGTAACAAAAGTTGCAAAAATAGCGCAACCATGTTGATTTATTTGTTGTTTGGAATTGGCATTAATTATTGTCTTTTTGTTATTTTTTAATGATTAAGGATTTTTTGATGTCTGTTTACCTTAGACCTATTATTCGGAAAATAGATTTTTCCAGACTTGCCGAAATCCTGACGATTTTGGATATGAGACTTTCCACTGTATATATATATATATATTTACATAAATTACAATTACATTTTTCATTTTACAGTAGATTTTCAATTTATTAGTAGATAATATTTTAGAAAAATAACGCATACTAAGCATCAGTAAGCATATTAGCAGATATTCAACCAAATATTCTTACCTGGCAACAGAATGGCTTTTGACTGGCAGGAAATATTTAATTTCTTCTTAAAGATAAAGAGACAATTATTTGAAATAGAGTTAGTGGAAGCACACACTATAGAAACCAATTTGTTAATTTATAGCATTTAATAATAGTCACATTTATGATATTTACATTGTTGGAAATTGTGTGACTCAAATTATGTTGCTTGATTTTTAATTCATTATTTAATACAGGGCTCTTTGTATCCCAGTATCACTCACAGGGCTCTTATTACCCTATAAGCGAAAAAGTTTGTAGTAAAACCAGTTCATATCTACCTTGTTTTTGGGAGAAGTAAAATATCCCAGACTACCAAGATTTATTTAAAGTTAAACATTAGTATAGAACTGTTCATCATATGGGAAAAAATAGTGGTGAATAATTCATAATAATAAATGGTAAAAGCTCTAATTTTTTAAGGAATCTACAAATGAAATGGTTTTACTATCTATGCCAGCTCCTTCTTATTTTCAAGATGCATACAGCCCTGTTAATATTCAAACAAAATGTTGAATAATTGATTTAAATCATTTAGTTATTTAAAGTGAATTAAAAGTACCATAATTTCTTGCATATTTTTGGTGGCAGCAATAATACACTGGTGCAACTTTCAGCCCTATGCTTCAGCAATATACTTCATAAAACAATTGTCTGCTATTAGTAATAAATTATTTTGAGCTTTGATTAATAAACAAACTTCTCCTTTTATTTTATTTTTTTATATAAAAACACACAATTATTAACGAAAGCAGATGTGATTCCACATCCAGAAAAACTTGCAAGTATACTGCGCTTCTGAAGAATCAGAATTTATTCAATTGAAAAATATTGTTTGGTTAATCGATGTCAAATAGATAAATATAACAGGTGATTAAAAAATTTTTTTTTGTTATCCCTGTGGCAAAATCACAGCAACATTGTCGCAGTGTGTTACAGAGGTCCTGCAGAAAGATTTTTTCTTTAGGAAGTAAAAAATATTAATTTTCTTTTCTGCAGAAATTTTCTAAAGATTTTAGGAGAGGAAAGAACAGCTCATAATTTTTCTATTCTCATATGAAAATTATGAATAGTGAATTACAAAATTTTGGTTTTCTTTACTGCAGAATTTTTCAAAGGACTTTTTTTTCCTCCAGAATTATATTCAAAATGTGTCTTTCTCGTACACTGAAAAGGAAAGAAATGCTCATGATTTTTCTATTCTCATTTGAAAACAATAAAAAATTAAGAGTAGTGAATTAAGAAATTTTACTTTAAAGAAAACCAAAATTTCTTAACTGTCTTTCTAATCTTTTTTTTACTGCAGAAATTTTCAAAGGACTTTTTATTTCTTCTCCAGAATTATATTTAAAGATGATTTTTCTCGCGAATTGGAGGGTATAGAAATGCTCAAGTTTTCTCTATTCTCGTTTAACAATATGAAAAATTTGATAATGGCCGGTTCAGCTCGAATTTTAAATTGATTATAAAAGTTTAAAAAAGATCGAAATTGCGAAAGTTTAAAAGATAATTCTCCTTAGGAATCATGTTCTTTCTTTTATTTATTTTTCTAAGAACACTAAATTTGGATATGAGTGAGGATTTTGTCGCAAATTCAGATAACGATTTTATAGTTTTTTCAACATCGTTTGTTTGACTTTTTATTGCAAGTGCTGTTGATTTCCATGAGGTTTTTAAAAATTCGGGTGAATTCTCAGTTGATATAATTTCTGCTCGTAAAATTGAACTAATTGCATTTTGACGTGCTCAATTTATGCCAGTAGTATCCGAAATCTACAGCTCATCAGAAGAACCATTGTTACTGACACACAGGAGAAAATGAAACATTTGTATCTTCCCTACCCCCTCATGACCTAAAGATCTTCAAGATCGCGAAAGAAATATTGAAATTTTCTCTCAAAGAATGGAGAGAAAAATACTCCCACACACATTTTCCTTTAACTTCAAAGAGGAGTCAAATTTCCTCTTTTTTTCCTCAATCTGTCTAGTTCAAAATAGTGGGAAAACTGGGCAAAATTTTTCTGGTTTCCGGGTTTTCTGGATGCTGGATAAATGGTTCTGTACTGTATTATATTTGCACATTATTCTTGAGCTTTTAAATTCTCACAATTTTTTAAAAGTTTTTATTACAACACTTAATTTTCAAATTGCCCCTTTGAATAATCAATGTGTGATGAGGTCACTTTGTAATGATTATGTTGTAAATTCAAATAGTCTTGTCAATAACATTCTTGATAATGTTTATATTTATTAAGTTTTGTTTTTTAATGTAGTTTAATTATCAGCCAGCTATTAAAGCTGATATTTTATTTATTATGTTATTTTAAGCTATTATATTTATTCTATTCACATTTGTATTCTTTTTTTTTTTTAATTGAAATATATGTCTTTATCTTTCAGAATTGTGAACTAACAACTCTTTTATTTACTCTTTATACTGCATTTTTGATCAGAGAGTTTGAGAAAATTGAAAAATGTGCTAATTATCTATCACCAATGGCAGATGTAAGAGCAGAAATCTTAGCTGCCAGTCGATCTCGTACTGGATGGTTAGAAGGCACTGTTCAAACTCCTGATAGTCAACCCTTTGTTAGCAAAGTGAAGTCTAGTTTTGAAGAAAAGAATATTAACCAGGATCCAAAATTATCTTCTAGTGCTTCAAAGTCTGAAGCTGTTCGTAGACTGGGAAGCAAAGTAAGCTCAATTGCTACTTTATTTCAGTCACTTTCTCCTCACCGAGCTGATGGTTCTAAACCTTGTTTCTCACCAACTGGTAGTAAAGACAGCCAAAAGAAAAATATTCAGGCTGCTGAGCAAGATAATAGTTGTGTGTTTGATTCAGAAAACAAGATCATACAAAATGATACTGAAGGATTGCACAAACGTTTTAGCAATGCCCGTGCTATTTTTGAGCAACTTGGTGAAAAAAATAAAGAAAGTGGTAAGTTAGAACAGTCAAAACATCCGTGTTCAGCGGATACAAGTTGTTCCTCAAAAGTCTTGTTGGCAGAAAAAGATAAAATTCAATGTTCTTCAAATCGTCATTCTAGTCATATATCATCTGATGAAGATTTACCTAGCTTACCTTTTTCTCACAGACATAAGGCTGTTATTCCTAATAGTTTTGAAGAGAAACTTGGATCTGGTAATTCTAGGCCAAATATATTACCAGATTTACCAAGTGATATAGATAGTACCCAAATTTATTCTGAAATTCATAGAAATTATTCTCATAATTCTCCTATATATGAAGAAATTCCTGGTATTTCAAAAGAGAACAATAAACCTATTTCTAATCAAGCATCAAAAGTTAACAGTTTTGTTATGAGAAACCAAGAGGACAATAATGCCAACACAACAAATCTTTCAGATAAATGCATGGTGCCTCCTAATTCTGTTGAATCTAATATTGATACTTCATTTCCAATCTATGCAAAAGTGATAAAAAAGCGCACAAAGCCAGGAAATCATAATAATCTCATAGGGCACACTGACACTGAGGTTAATAAACCTAATGTTAGTACTGATTTGGGTAAGTTTTAATATTTGCTTTAAGTCCATGCATAACTTTTTCAATTTTATTTATTACATTTCTAATTTTAACCCAACTTTTTTTATCAGTTATAAAATATTCAATATTTCATTTTGGCATGTTTTACATGATTTACAAATCCCTATAAGACATTAACATGTAACTACACCACTTTTACATAGCTGCCAACTTTCTGGATTTTCCAGTAGACTACTGGATTTTGTCAGTTTCTCCTGTTCAACTGCCTTAATAAAAATTCTCATGGTTTTTGTTCATTTTATAAAATTCCCTAAAATTGTGTAAGTTTCCTAAAAAAAAACCATATTGAAATATACTTTTTGCACAAATTATTACTTATTTGAATATTTAAATCTCATTTATAGAAATCAGTGGGAAAAAAATTTTTTGTTCTAAAATCTTCATTTTATTTTTATACACAACTCCCTTTTTAAATTGAGTAAAAAATCTTCAAAATATCTTTGAGGTATTAAATGCCTTTCATTATTCAAAATTATGATTAAACATAATACATAACATTTCAAGTATATTTTATGTGAACCATAACTGGAAAATACTGCAGTTTTTTATTTTATTTTGATGACTATAAAATTCCCAACGTGTAAAATCTACTGAACTTTTTATTATCTATGTTGGCAGCTATGCTTTTAAATCTTTCTTTTAAGTAATTAATTGCTTTTTGATAGTTATTCTATTGCTTTTCTTAGTAGATGTTATCTAGGCATATCAATGATTTTATTTCTCCATAAATCACATAATTATTGCCTGCTTAGAGGTTTAAAAGAATAATTATTTGTGTTGTAATGAAGATTGAGACAATAATGAAGTAAATGATTGAAAGCAAATCTCAATTTTTATTGGAAAACTTTGAAAAAAAGTTTATGTGAAATATGCATACATTACAGATTCACAAAATTTTCTGTACAAATCAATAAGGTTCCACGATATATAAAGCAAAAAATTTAACAGTTAAAACTTTTTTATACTCATTAAGCAGTGGTACAAGTTTTATATAACATATCTCTGCTAAAAGTTTTATATAATATATATCTTCTTACAGATATCTGATTTTTAAAATATCTGTAAGAAGTAAAATAAGCTAGGAAGTTTTTTGTGGGAAAAATTATATATCATGAGAACAGAGGCTACAGACATTGCTGATCAATCTTATTATTATTTATTCATGTAATAATGTCATATCTTTTTCTCCATATTGATGAGTTGTAAACAAACCTATAAGCATAGATTCAGCTGATAAAACTTAAAACCAATTGTATATCCAACATTTATTGACACTAGATTATAGGACATTTCATGGTTCTCTAAGAATGTATTCTTACTTAGGCTACTTTTAAATTACTTAATTTCAGAAATCATTTTTTACCAGTGTTCCACATGGTATTATTTGTCAATCACATGTTCTATTATTATTATATATTTATATTGTATTGTTATTGAATATTATATTGTTATGACACAAGAATTTTGAACTGTGGATTTGAATAATCAATTTTGAAGCACTTGATTATTGAACTGGGTTTCTCCTCAAATATATATATATATATATATATATATATATTTTAAATCTTATGCTCCTCCTAGGTCAGGGGTGGCGAACCTTTACGCCCCAACGTGCCATTTTTCTAAAGAATTGTTTAATGAGGTCATAGACGTGCCGTCAAATAATTTTGACTTCGTGATTATTGGGAAAATAATTATACTAAATGCTATCAACTCAAAACTCTTTATTTACTATGAAAAAAATACATTTTGCAATGTCTCAATTACATGCGTAAATCAACTTAAAGTAACATCAGTGTGACTTCAGTTGTTGTAGATTAGATGACAAATAACTTATATTAGGTTGAAAGATGTTAGTTTAAGCAGGACAATAAATTATTTTTTTTGCTCATAACATATTGTTGGCTTGTTTTTTATGGTTATTAATTGTTTTTTTGGCATTAATTGTTAATTTTTTGCTAATAATTGTTTATTTATTTTGTTTGTTTTTGTAAATTTTTATTTAATTGATACATATGCTTCATAGTGTAATAACAACGGTGGCATGCCCAAAATATTGTGTCTCGTGCCATTGGTTCGCCATCCCTGTCCTAGGTCAATCAGTTATATGCTGTGTTGCTGTCTAACATTGCAATATACCAAATAGAGAAGCATTTTCAGTGTCCATGTCTTTTAATTTGGAACAAACAAGACAATGCCATCCACTCATAAAACCATCGCCACTGTAATGACTTCCATATAAAGAATTAAAAGAACATCAGGATTAAATTAATACTTATTTTAATTTAATTCCTGATCTTTCAAATCATGAACAACACTTTTAATCATCGAATATAATCTGACACATTTCAAAAGAATTAAAGCAGATCTGGTGACATTCTGTGTCAGCAACTAGCAATGCTTTTCTCTTATCTTTAACAATCGAGATTTCCTACTAATTTATTTCACTTCTCAGGTCTGAAGATGTTACACTACTTAGAGGGCATGTGCAGTGCTGTATTAGCCGTTAAGCATACTAAGCACGTGCGTAGGGCACCAGAGCTTAGGGGGCACCACGAAGCTCCAATAAAAAAAATATTTCTAGAAATATTTTTAACGCATTTTTATTCAATTATTAGCTTTTACACAAGATCATGATTTAAGCTAAATTGCTATTGCATTCCATTTATTTCAATCTCGCGGGGGGAATGAAAGTTGTGTATTGCCAGTATCCCATCACAAGATGACCAATGCTCTTTCCTAACGGATCACCTACATAGTCTATAGTATATATGAAACATCGGTGGATAGCTGAGGTCTGAAATACGAAACTAGAGCAGGGAAGAAGCTTTGTGTAAACTAGAGTAACGAATTAATTTACTACACTGACATGTCAAAGCATTCTTTTCATCTCTGAAACATCTGTTACAAAAAAATGGGAGGGCGAATAAAAGAGGGGTTCCTTGACATATTCTTTTAAACCAATTGCATGATTAGGAGATCAGTTACTAATTTTTTGCCTACTCTAGAAAATTGAACATTTGAAACTTAAATAGGTAGAAACAGTGCGACTCTATCTTGACTCGGTATGTTTTTTTGTTTATTTCATATTCAAGGAGACTTTGTTTGACTTTAAAAGTATTCATCATTTTTAAGTTTTAATAATTTAATAAGGCTAGAAAAAGAAGCAAGAACCCCCTGAGATTCTTCGAAGACTTAACGACTGACGTAAAAAGTAACAACAAGTTAGTTTAACTTGTATTCCCCCTTCCCATTTATAGATTATTGAAAATGTTGTTACAACATAATGGGATTTTTATTTATCATGGAGTAAGTCTCTTAAATTAATTGATTTTAAATTGAATGCTTCAACTGCCAATTAAGTATACTTGTCAATGGAATAATTTGATTAATTTCAAAATTAATATGGAAGAAGTAGAGATATTTTATAATGTAATAAGAGTTTAATTTTATTTTAGACAAAATAAATAATTTGTTTTTAAGAGAAGTATGGTGCTCTACTCCAGTTAAAATGGCCAAATTTGACATACTGTGAGCAAAACAAAAAAGTGAAAGCTCAGAATAACTTTTGATCTGATCTAATGATCGCATTTTCACAGACTAAATCTTAATAGTAATAGGACTTAACCTTAAATAAGCTAATTAATTAGTGCTGATGATATTTAAAGTTATGAAATCAGACACAACAGATTAAAAACTTAATTTTTTCGACAGATTTGGTATTCTGACCTTTAAAATATGGGAGGGGGGATTCACCACAATCTGGAAAATATTGTACCAATAAATTATAAAGGAGAGTGAGTAAAAGTTTGGACCACTTTCTCTTTTTGCGTATTTCGCTATATCTGGAGAATTGATAAGTGAATCATAAAGGTTTTTGAGCGCAATTGTAAAATTTGTTTATTCGAATATAATTCCATGTAAAATAATATTTAATATGATATATTTTATCTAATGAAGGGAATTTAAATTGTAAGGTATCAAATTGTTAAATATGTAATTAGATAGAACAGTTTCTGAGATAATAAATTATTAAAAGTCGTATATTTGGAACTTGATTTCTTCAATACTATTCCACCAACATTTAAATTTTGTACTTTCCCCCCTTTTTAATTTCCCCCCTTTTTAATTTCCCCTCCCTCTATCTATCTCTATCTTGAGAAAGTGATGCACCTATATTTTTCATTTTAGATGTGTCAAAAATAAAAAGTTTTTTTTTATTTTCAGTCCACCCAAAAAACATAGCTCTTAAAGTTTTAATTTTATATTTTTCTTCTAGTTTTGGACCTGTTAATGTTTGAAAAGGGTCGAAATTTTGACTGTCAATGAAATGGAGATGAATTTTGTTTCGCATAGGAAGCAAATGTAACTTGAATTGTCATCAGACACAGAGTTAATTCCAGACACAGTTGAAATTTGAGGATTCTACTTAAAAGGCAAAAAAAAAAAAATCTAAGCTTTGTTTAATGAAAAATTCTCTTTCGTGATAAAATGACGATAAACTTAGCTTTCAATGTTTCGGGAGAAATCGTAACTTGTTTCGTCAGTTGAATACAAGTTGAATTTTGTACTTTGACTACATAGAAAGTGATCAAAATATCTATTTCTGATACGTTTTTGATAAAATGGTAATAAACTCTGTTTGTTGCGGTCAGGAAACGACTTGTATTCTCAATAAGCACGGAGCTCAAGTACAGATTTGTGTACTCTAGCCAGTCGGGAAGTAGAAATTTAGATTGCATGTTACCATCGTTACAAACACGAAAGCTAGTTAATTGAGTTAATAATAAATGCTGAAGGCAATGAGAAAACTTATAAATTCAAGGAGAATTGTCACAGGTTTCCCAACACTCTCAGAGATGGAAAAAAAAAATTCTTTGTTTTTATGAATCAGTTATCCTGCTTGTATTGAGCTTTTGTATGTTGTTTTATTCTCTATAAAAATTCGTTAAAGTTCGATAATTTTTTCACATGAATATTAGCTTGAGACCTGCAATAAAAATATTTTTTTCACTCAAATCAGCAAAGCATCAGAGCATCAAAATATTTTAAGTGCTTAGGGCCTCTAAGGCTCTTGATCCAGCCCTGGGCATGTGACAGAAATTGTTATACGTATTTTATTGAGATGCTGCTAGAGGTAATCATGGCCTGACTTTTTTGGTAAATTTGGCAGAATCCTGTTCTTATATTTAAAACAGAATTTTGAAACTAAAACTAGAAATCCAATTGTCTAGGTTCTAGAACAGCTATTTTGTTTATTCCTCATTAATAGCATTTATTCTGCAAAAGGACTCTAAAACAAAGCAAAGAATGACAGTCACCACCTTTCAAAAGTTCATTTGATTTAGTAAACTTTTTTTGCTCATTTTGTTGTAGTTTTAAAATTCCTGTTTTTTTTATTTTTTATAAGGCATTATTATGACAAATGAATTTTAAATTTAGCAATTAAGTAATCACTTTTTAATGAGGTATTGTGATAAGTATATTTTTTATATTTTTGAAATTGAATAAAACTTTTACTTAACATAGTTAGAATAAATCTAATCATATTTTTACTAGAAAAATTTTCTAACAAATTTTGTTTTCAATAATTTGAAAAAACTTTTTATATTTGGTAATTATTTTCTAAACTAAGTGAAGAAATCAATCAGAGTTTTTTTTTACAGTAGTTTTCTAGTAAATTTTTTGCATTTAGTTTGTTTAACTTTTAATTCTGCAAATTCCAGTGAAGACAACCTTTCAAACCACAGATAACAGGGTATGGGATTTTCGATTGTGTAATTTTCTCATTGTAGGATAATAATGTTCTTATATTCTAATTTAAGTAATTCTTGATCTTTAACAACATATTACTTATGCTCCCTAGACTGTGAGTTAGTGCCTGAAAAGAAATTTGACTGCAAATCCACCCCGACTACAGAAAGAACATCTTTAGTATCTGATGATATACCTATTGAACAAAGTTCTGTTGAGTGTGAAAAACAGGAATTTTCTTATGGTAATAGTTTTATTACATTTTTTTTTTTTTTTTTATTAATACAAGTTAATGTTTATTTTATTTATTTATTTTGAAAAAGGTAAGAAATCTGAACCTTTAAATGAAAGTTGGAAAAATATTAGTGCAAAAGATCCTAGTGCTTGGAAGAAAAAAAATGAAAATCCATGTCCTATGGAGGTATTTGTTTTTTTTTTACTAACTTTAATAGTTGATACTTGTTATATAAATATTTATTTACTATCTTCCTATGACAAGCACATCTCCAGATGTTAGATTGCTTTTGCTTCAAATAAAAGTTTATGTTCTCATTAAAAGCACCATAGACAATAATTTGAATTACTAATGTTCACAGGTTGTATATAAATTTACTTATGGGATAAAGATGGGTTAGAAAAGAATCTGTGATAAAAAAAAATCCATTTTCTATGAAAAAGTAAAATTTCTTATTTAAATTATTAATTATTGCTTTAGAATTCTTGATATAATCTATTTTCTTAAAAAACATTAATTTAATTTTCATTTAAATATTATTTAAAATATTTTTTTTCCATATTTATTTATTAATATAGAAGTCATGTATTTTTAAAATGTTTGAGTGTGGGGACATTAATTACATTTTTCCATGCAAATACAATTGAAAACTGTGACAATTTTTTTATTTTTAAAGTTTTTTTCATTGCTGGCTGTTTATGTACTTAATCCTATGATCTTAATGTTAAAATTATCATCATTAAGTTAATTATGATATGATTTTTTCCTAATTGTCTCATGCAAAAGTTAACGTTTTGAGAAAATCACTCAAAAGTATTGTTGTTACAGTTTACTAAGCATGAAAAATGTTTCTTAAAAATTTGGAAAAACTATATTTTTTTGGTGATTAGGTGATTGTTTTTGTTTTGTTTTTTTCAGTTGAATGAATCTCGTGACTTTTATTCCATTTCAAGTGACTTACGAGATGCTGCTGGTGAAACATTAGCAGAATTTGAAGGACGGGATCATGAATTATTTTTTGTTTTAAGATCTCAACATGTCAGTAATTCAGTAAGAAGCCTAAATCACTCATTATTTGTAACTGACTTGGGAGTAGGATACTGATATTACATCTAAAATAACAAATTTAAGCAAGGCTTAATATTTGTATATTGATAAAGATTTTAATATATTATTTTTTTTTAAATTGTTTTTTAGGCAAAAAGTATTTGGTTCTAATTTATGTTAAGCCACTTTAAGATTTATGTTATGTTTGTTTTCCATGGTGAAGAAAAAGATGAATGGCTCATTGGTATTATTTACATAATTGCTTGCAGTTCAAAAATCAAATAAATGCTATATTAGCAGAATTTTCTTGCTTTTATTGGTATTTTAATGCATATACTTTGTTCTTAGTCATGGTCAATGACATACAAAGATAGTCGTAAAACTCAAATCATAACTAAAGATAATAAACTCTCTAAAAGCTTCCTACGACAGTGATGCTGGCTTTTACATAAATATTTTTCAGATAGGACAAAACTTAAAAAAGTTCCATTTCCTAAATCATGTTTCAACCAAACTGTTTTTTTTTTATTTTTTTAAAGATCAAATTGATAAGCACACTGCTGTTTTACTAACAGTGTGTGGTTGTTAGGGAAAGACAAAATTTGTATGAAGCTATTTATACTTGTGTAAGGAATTAACATAAAAATATTCTCTAACTCCAATGGTGCTTATAAATTAAACTGTTGCAAGCAATACACTACTGTGGAAAGTCCCTTGTATATTTACTGTCAAATTTTTGCCAGTTGTTACAGATTTTCATAGTTCTTTTAATGCTACATCATACATGGGAGATTTTGAATCACGCATTTGTAGAATTACTTTTTGATGCACTCAATTTGTGGTCATTTGATTGACCATGTGGTTTTGTTGATTGCATTTTCAACAGTTTGGGATTTTCACTTAGTTTTTAAAACTTCGATTTCATTTTTAGTATAATGTTATTAGGATCCTCGAATTCTGAATTGCACTTTTAAATTATCACTTAATGACCTGCTTTAGTCAGAGCAATTTCATCTCAAATCCAGATATTTTCAAAATTTGAAATTTTTGTGCACTCTGAAATTAAGTGCATGATTCTTGGCTGTAATATTCCTTTTATGCGAGACGTGAAAAAATACACTTTTTTTCATGCTCTAGTGAAATGCCGGATTTCTTTTTCCTGATATACATTTTCCCCCATATTATAGCGGAAATCAGATTACAGATAAAAGTCAAACAAAAATCGGAAGTCTTGTAAAAATAAGAAGCAGAAAGCAAAGGATTCTCATCCCTGCATACTTTTTTAACCAAGTCGCAAGTGTAAAAAAAAAAGTTTTGTTTGTTAAAAAGTATCCGGAAAAAAAGACCCTTCTGGTAAACGAACTTCTGGATATGGGACTTAGTACAATATTTTTAAATAAAATAAAAATTAGTATCTATAAAGTGCACCACCCATGACTGGAATCTGGTTTGGTTTCCAGAATTAGTTTTTTTCCTTGTAAAATAAGAAAAGTTTATCAAAAGTGTTGCTTATAAAAATAATAATGGTAAAAACGGATTGCAAAGTAGCTATTAAATATAAAAATAAAACTGAAATTGCAAAGAAAATAATAAAAGAACAGAAAGCCATTTTTAACTCTTAAATTTTACTTGATTGTAATCTGAACAAAAATTTTAAAATGAGAGATATAATTAAAATTCCTATAACCATGCTTAATAATTCCTATGTCCATGTATAACAATTCCTTTAACCATGTACAACAATAATTCCTCTAACTATTTTCTGTTCTTGTGTTGAATTCTACATTCAGTCCAATCTACTTTATCCATTATTCTTGCTATTGTTTTATTCTTCCAAAAGTATCAATAGTTATATAATAATTATAAGTTTCTATTAAGGAGGGAACTTTAATTAAGCTCACTTCAAAGCGCCAAAAATCACTTTTTTAATAATTTCTCCTCTTTTTTTTTATTAAAATTATAAGGTTGTATTTCAATATTATCACCTGTTAGCTCTTCTGGCTTATAATTTATTATTATTTATTTTTATTTATTTATTTTATTTTATTTTTTTGCTGTGTTGTGCTTAGCAGTAAACATCAGTTCCTTTTCTTCTTCAACAAAGCTATTCATATTGCTCACTGCCACTTTTTCAAAAACATTTCTAACCTTATTTTTAATTGAAATCATAAAACTGGATTGACTTCACTATTTATATCATTGTAATGTCGAAGTTTAATTCATTTAAAATCGATGCAACTAAAGTTTTTCTTGAAAAAATGATTTGTAAATGAATGATGAATGAATGATAACTAAGTATTTAGACATAAGCTAATTCTAATTCTTAGAAAGTGTTTATCTCATATTTTTATGCTTGTCTTTTTTTTTAATTCAACTTGTGCATTTAGGAGCAGTCTTTTCCCAACCACAAATCGCATTCCACTACTGACTCTAAAGTTGAATTTATGACCAAAGAAGAAGCTGAGCACTTTCTCAGCAGGTATAGTGAGACACTCTTTTTATATTAGTTATATTTTATAAAGCTGCCAACAGTCAGATATTTCCTTCAAAAATTTTAGATTGTTTTATTTATAGAGTGATGAAGTGCTTTTGCATTACCCTCAAGTGTTTTAACTCATATTACCCTTGCCCTTAAGGGTTACAGATCACAGTCATTTAAAGTTTGCTTTAAACTTGTGAAACAATTCTTTATTCTAAAAAAAATACTTCTGTGACAATGATTCTTTTATGTTAACTTTGTAAATTTTGTGTTGTTATAAAATGTTTTATTTCCCATTAGCTCTTTATTTATTATATTTCTAAAATTCTAAACATTTTTAAATTTTCATAGATTTCTTTATTTATTTCTATGGTATATGGTCTATATATGGAATTCAAAGATATAAGTTTTTACTAAAAATTTTGTTACATTATATTTTCTGAAAACGTTTTAATAATTATGTAGTACGAAATATTAATTTGTATGCATTTTTAATTCTCTCACTAAATGTTTTTGAAAGTTTCAGTTATATATTATATAATATAGTTATAACTATATTAGTTTATGAACAATACTGGTAACATTACAGAAATGAATTATGTTTGCATAAGATTCTTTTATCTATTTATTAAATTATTATTTTACCTTGTAGTTTGTCATTTTATCTCTTTCTGTTTTACCATGCAAGCAAATTGCTAGAATTGTTTTTTGGCATATGGTCCAGGTATTGGCTACTTAAAAAAGTCATTAATCATAGTAGCCAATTTTCAATTGATTTATTTAACTCTTTAGCAAAAACGTTATGTATTCATTTATCACATAGAACTTCTTGTCTCCCACAGACTAAGAAAGCAATGGAATCGTTGAGTCAGAAAAAACGAGTTATCTCTATCTGAAATCCCCTTTAGATGACCTGTTTTCAAACTCATCGATTCAATTAAGGGAGGATATCATACTTTAAAAACAGCAATTATGTGCCATACTTCTAACCATTGTATATTTTTCTTGCCATCTATATTGTTGGGTCTATGAACTGTCTATAAGGACAAAATTCTCTAATGTTGAAAGAGCTTGTGGGGAAATCTTACAATTTTCACTAGATACGGTTACTTTTTCACCGGATAAAAAGCAGGCATTTTATAAATGACTTTGTTATTACATAGACTTAAAGCTTCTGAATTTAATACTAGCATCAAACCATTCAGCTATATCCATTTTTGTTTTTCAAGATTTGAAGACTTCTTGTCACATATATTTGAAAAATTGAATTTTGAAAAGCCAGATACTTAAAATTTGATTTTGAAGGAACTATTCGACTAATTTTGCTCAAATTTTATATTTTGCCATATAAAGTTACATTCTTTAAAATGATGCAAAAAATTGCATACCTTATAGTTCAAAATGTTTTTGATCATTCCTAAATAAATTAATAAATATTTGCAAAAATATATGTTTTGAATAGAATTATCTCTGGATAAACAAATTTTATAGTTGCGTGTAAAAAAAATTTCAGTTCGCTTAAAAATTTCTCAAGTTATAGCAAATTGCGCAAAAAGTAAAATTAACTAATAAGGGGTCCAAACTTTTGAAGCAATTTATTTTCATAATTTGTTGTTAAAAGGATTGACAATGCAGGTGAAAAATGTTTGCAAGAATGTAACAATAGCGCAACAGATGCTCTCCTTTTCAACCAAAAAAGCTGTTGACAAATTCCCTTCCCTCAGTTACCCCGCAAATAGACTCTTACAAGGATCGACGAAAGTATGATTCCCTGTCCCCCTTTCTTCTGCAGGTGTGGAAAAAATAGAAAGAAGCATATTCAAGTAGCCTAAAACAAATGCGTGGGGGGAAGTGCTTAAATGATTTATCTTAAAGGTGAAGTTTATCACCACTTTCAGCTGAAGGACAACTTTATTTGTAGTCTCAGAAATGTACGACTTTAAAATAAGCAGATGTTTGCGTAAAATGAGACATGGACATAGATAAAAAAGAAATGTGCGAACTGCTTTATTTCTTCTATATTTAATGTTTTATTTAACAGCTTTAATCATTTGATTTAGCTGCTTAATCATTTGATATATTTATAACTGGGATATTGCGAAAATCATTATGAAATAAATAATGCGTTAACAATCGTTTTATGCTTTAATTTTTCCCAAAGTAAGATTATTTGTATATTTTTTATATCATTTAAAAAAAAATTTTAAGATTTTTAGCTGTTTGTCAGTTGATAGGTAAAATTTTAGAAATTAAAAAATTAGCAAACGAAACACGATACATTCGTGATTTTTTTTGTGTTTTACTATTTTGCACAAATCAAGATTTTTTTTATCTAATTATTATTAATTTTTTTTAATTATTGTAAGGATTTTTTGCTGTTTATTCATTTGATTTTGTATTATTTAGGTATTTCAAATCAAATTACGATAAGGCGATGTGATGCGATCGCGATTGTCCTATATGGTACAATTTTGCGCCTAGTAAGATTCTTTTAATCAATTTAATATATTTTGTTAACTTATTTTAATTATATTTAGGCTCTTAATCTCTTGGTTTACATAAAATGCGAGCATTTTAAATTGGTATTTATTAATGTAATTAATGCATTATTGATTGTGTTGCATTTGAATTATGCACAATTGTACACAGTTGAATTTTAAAAAGTTATGATGAAAATTATTGAAATACATAATTTCTGATTTTAAGTAAGATCGCATATATTAATTTATCGAATATTTAATAATTATTTTAATGATTTTTAAACGTATAATAATTTATTTTGTGTAGAACTTGTCATTTGAAACAAATAATTAATTCCGTGATCAATCATGCTGTAAAATTTTGTCCGCCGTATCCAATGATGCGGCCTGCCTGATGAAACACTTTTCCTTTTTAGTTAAATTTTATGAGTTTGGCGTATATCCCTGGGTAATACTTATTTATTGGCTGTTTGGTTTTAAAATCTTGAGATACTTGAAAACCTACATATTTAAGAGAGGTAACCAGTTGATCAACAAAAATTGCTAGTATGTCAGACGAAGTCTACTAATCTGTGCATAGAGAAGCTTATAAGAATGGTGAAACTTTTGTATAAAAGTTTTGTTTTCTAAAAAAAAAAAAAAAAAGTTTTCATTTACTGCTAAATAATTTTAAAAATATTTGCTGGATAAAACTGAACATGAAACTTCTGTTGAAATGTCATTGATTATTTTTTTTTAATGAAAAAAAGGTCTGATATGAACTCAGTTATATGTTTATCAAAAATTCAGATAAATATTATAAGTGAGTTATAAGTTTTTTCTAATACTGTATTGATCAAAAATTGCAACTGCATACTATCTTATTCATCTATTTTACTTTTATCCCTTTTTTCATATTATTATTCATACATTTCTATTTAGATCTCAGGAAGACAGTTTAGATAAGCAAGGTTTTCAATGCTCTCAAAGCTTACAAAATGTTGATAGTGATCAATCAGAAACCTGGTCTGTACCTAATTCTGTTACTGGGGAAACTGATGATGACGACCTATGTGCAGATGACTATAGTAACTCTATTGCTTTTCCACCGGGAACTAATGTTCTTTATGAAGATGTTAACTACCATATTTTATCTGATGGTCATTTTGTCACTGAACTGCCAGGTCTAGATGAAGACAGTGAGGATGAAGAAATTTTTACTCCTATTCCACCAAAAAAGAAAACTAAAGTTCGCTTCAACTATGATCCAATTAAGGTATTTTTCTTCATGATACATTTAAACTATTTTTTACGGAGTAAATTTAGTTAGTTAATGCTAGTTCTGAAAATTAAATTTATTTTCATAACCTAGTATTTATCTCTCTAATGACTTGCATTTGCATGTAAAATTTACATTAGTCCTGATTTAATTTTACTAAAGATTAGTTAATGTGTATATGTATACTTAATTATTTCTTTGATAAGGAATTTTGAATTTTTATTTTAAATTTCTTCTGAGAACTTTTCGACTTTTTAAGTTAAATAAAAATTTCCTTATATATATATATATATATTTATTTATGTAATTTGCCTATTTTTATCTAATGTATAGAGCAAAAAAAAAAGTGGACTCCTATTACAACTTTTGATCAAATTATATTTCCATGTGCTACTCGTAGAATTCAATTTGAATGGTTCAAGGTATCAACATTAAATATGCTAAGTAATTTATACATTAGCGAAAAATTTATTGACGGTGTGCTTTTTTGTGTGCACTGTACGTCTAACAAAATCCATGTTAAATAATTTGGTATTGCTTTTAATATGTAGCGCATTTTGTGGTTACTGAGATTTCTCACTGTTTTTTCATTGATAAATTCCTTTTCCAATAATTTAATTAAAATATCTGCATATGAAACAGGGCCAACTATTTTGGAAATTTTTCTACTTTTTAAATATCTACTTTTTCAGGTATACAGTACTTATTCTGTTGATGATTATGATCGGCACAATGATGATGTTGATCCTGTTGCTGCATCAGCTGAATATGAACTTGAAAAACGTATTGAAAAAATGGAAGTTTTCCCAGTAGAATTAGTGAAAGGTGTGATTTAAATTATATCTTACTGCATCACAACTGTTTGGAAACCAACTATGTTAACATAATTATTTATTGTTATTACTAGCTTATTCTGATAAATTTATTTTCTTTAGGTTAAGTATTAAGTTTTTGGTTACAGTTTCAATTATACTGTAAAATACCAATTATGAGTGAATATGAATTGCAATGTTGAATTTTAAAGATGCTTAGAGTACAAATCACTCTGCTTAAATTTTAAATTACATGAATATGAATTGTGATATGCAATTTTTTAATTGTGGGAATACAAAAAGTGATGCGTAACTTTGAAATCACGTAAATTGATGTTTGATATTTAAATCGTATGAATATTTAATCACAATGTGGGGTTTTAAAAATGCATAAATACAGATCATGACTTTAGATTTTTAAATTATGTGTGTAGGAATCGATACGTGATTATTTGACTGTGAATAAGAATCACATTTGATTTTTAAATCATTCGAATTTGAATCGTTTTGTGCATTTTCAGAATTTCTATTTTTGATTTTTCAAATTTTGTGGTTACTCTTGTTAATTTTAAAAAAGTATTCACAAAATTTAAGAATCTCTGTGGGTGTATCTGCTCATGACGTGCATTTATATTTTCTAACTCTTGATGGATTATTATTCAGTTTTGATTGCTGGTTAATATTCAAATGAAATTATGGGTGAGGACTTGATCAAATCTGGGAGCTTGTTTAGTATTATCCTGGAATTAATGATATGTTATGAGATGTTTTAAAATGAAGTTTCTTTCAATGTGGTATCAATATTGTTTTTGGTTAATATAGGTTTTCAAGTCTTTTTGAATTACCACTTTCTTTGCAAAACAAACAATTTTCAATAGTTCCTTGAGGAAGAAGAAAACTTTTTATAGTTTTTCCTTTTTAATTTTTTTACGTTACTTTTATGTGATTTACAGTAAAAACCTGATGACCTGGGATTCAGCTAAGTGGTTTTTTCAAAATTTTTCTTAGAAAATCAACTGGATAATTTGAAAATCAGTATTTTTCATTTTTAATAAATTTTTTTTATTATTTTTTGAGCTTGAAAATTCTATTTTGTTGTATTGGTTCGCCAGAATTTCATATGTACTCTTCCTCTTTTTATCTTTTGCAGTAATCTATTTTTATGATTTATGATCAATAATAATTTAAAGAATTAGCAATGCAAGTGAGAAACAGTTTGCAAGAATGTAACAATAGTGCAACAAATACTCTCCCCTTTAACCAAAAAAGCTGTTGATGAATTCCCCTCTCTTACAAAGATTGACGAAAATATGATTCCCCTTCCCCCTTTCTTCTGTTGCTGCAGGTGTGAAAAAAAAAAGTGAAGGAAAATATACAAGTCATTCTCTAAAACAAATGAGTGGAGGGAAATGCTTTCTTGAAGGTCAAGTTTATCTCCACTTTCAACTGATGGTCAACTATATTATATTTACTCTCAAAAATATATGATTTAAAAAATATAGAGATATTCAAGTAAAATGATCACGTGGACAAAAGAGGAATGCTTGAACTGCTTTATTTATTCTATATTTAACATTCATTTTAACGATTTTTAGTTTTATTATTTGATTTATTTAAAACATGAATATTATATATTAATTATACAAGAAATAATGCTTTCGTGATCATTTTATGCTTTAATTTTATGTAAAAGGAGAGTGTTTAATTTTTATATCTACTTTTTAAAAATTATATTAAAGGTTTTTAACTGTTTATCATTTAATAGGTTAAAATTTTAGAAATTTAAAATTAGTGAAAAGAAACTGTATACGTTTGTGATATTTTTGTGTAGTATAACTTTGCACAAAACAAAATTTATTTTATTTAATTACTATTAATTTTTTTGAATTATTGTAAGGATTTTTAGCTGTTTATTCATTTAATTTAATAATATTAAAGTATTTGAAATAAAATTCTATTAAAATGACGTGATACGATCGCTACTGTTCTATATGGTAAGATTTTGCACTGAGTTAGATTATTTTCATCAATTTATTGTATTTTGATAACTTATTTTAATTATATTTAGGTTCTTAATCATTTGGTTTATATAAAATTCGACTTTTTTAAATTAATATTTATTAAAGTAATGCTTTTGTGAATGTATTCCGTATTAATTGTGCACTATTGTACACACTACAATTTTTCCTACATTTGAAAAGTTATGATGAAAATTAAAAAAATATGTAATATCTGATTTTAAGTAAAATCACAGGTATTAATTTATTGTATATTTAATAATTATGTTAATAGCTTTTAAACGTTTAATAATTTATTTTGTATATAACTTGTTATTTGTAATATATGTGTTAACTCGGTGATTGATCATGTAGTTAAGTTTTTGCAGCGTATCATTGTGCGGTGCATCAAAATTGGATTTATGTTTCAAAACAGTGCATTTGATTAATGAGATACTTTTGTAACAAATAAAATATGTGTTAGTAAATTGTTCAGTAATAATTTACGAAACAAAAATTCATATTGAGAAACTAACTTAAAAGCTAAATTTTTGTCATTTTTAAAGTTTAGATGAATCAGGTATAAAATTACTTTAAATTAATCAAGACCTCTGCAGTTACAACATTAAATACTTGTTCTGTCAAATAAGAAAGCTTATATTAAATAATACAGTTTTTCCCCCATGTCACAGTGATAATATCCTTGGAACAATTTGTTCTTTTCATATATAAGTAAAAATCTAAAAAATTCCGTTTAGTATATTCTTGTGAAGATTATTCTTGTCTTGTTCATAGTAGGATGAAAGTAAATTTTCCTTCTTTGCAAACAATTTTGGTGATTTTGATCTCTAGAGATCTATCTATTCATTTTTCTAATTTTGAAAGTCATCTTGCTTTCTGTAATTTGAAAACTTCAGTATTGGGTTAAATATATTTCAAAAGCAATGTAAGCAAATATCTTTTACAAGTTAATATGTATATATATATANGATATATATATATAAAACGGTAAGAAACTGCTCACCCTCCAAAGTTGGTTTAATAGTATATCACTTTTTAAAAGTTGCCTTGAATCTTAACTGATTTAATGAAATTTTACTGATTCACTGATTTTTAATGAAGTGTTAAAAAATTTTAATATTTATTTTCTTTATGCTTCAACTAATTTTCAAAAAATCTTTTCATTCGTTCCCCTCCCCTTCTTTAATACCAATGAACTTGCTATAGCTTCCCAGAGAATGAAAAACATTTTTATGTTACAAATACTTGTCCACCAACTTCCATTATCTATAGTTATTTTACTGATTTGACTCTTTTAAATTGTTTGAATGTTGACATTAATAGCCTTAAAATCGATACAATTCTCAAAAAAATTTCACAACTAAGGAATACACATTTTTTTACGCATACTAAGAAAACTGAACTCCAGGAGGAAAAAAAGGTTTAAAATGACTTTAAAGAAACTAACTTCATAATAATAAGTTCATAATAAAAATTATCCTTTCCTGTGAGGTTTTTTTTTTTGTTGATAAAGATGAATCTTATGATCCTGTGATACCACCTTTTCTCTCTCTCTCTCTCTCTATTTTTTTTTACTGTATTTTTTCCTCCAAACTGTAGTTTCAAAAATTATTTGTTCAATTTTTCTAATTTCTGCAATGCTTTTACATTTAGCACTATTTACCCAATTCTAGCTCTTGTGCCATTAAACTATTTATCTAACGCAAAACATAAATCGATATTTTATGATATTGTTATTATAACATTAGTGTACAAAAACTTTACAGTAACTCATAACTGAAAATGTTAGTTTTATTTTAATAAATTGTTTTATTCTGAAAAATTGAAAATTATGCCTTAAGAGCTGGCAGAATAATAAAGAATCTCTAAACTTGTTTAAATTTATATCAATAGGTTTATTGTAATAAGATTTGTTAAATTTTATTAAAACTTCTAGAGAAATACCATTCAAATTTTTAAACTTTAATTTTTCAGGTTTTGATACTCAGCACATGATATATATTAACCATGTAATGAATAATTCGTATTATCTACTGATTTTTTATTGCACTTTTTTTGTGTATTTTTATATAGAACTGCGGAAAAATTAATATTACTGCTTTTTTAAATCGGAGAAAATGCTATTGTAAAATGTTTGATAAAATTATATAAATTATAAAAAAATCATAACATGATAAACAAAACTTTCAATTCTTTATTATAGGCCCTGAGGGTCTTGGACTAAGTATAATTGGCATGGGTGTTGGTGCTGATGCTGGGTTGGAAAAATTAGGAATTTTCGTAAAATCAATCACAATTTCAGGAGCAGCATATAAAGATGGAAGGTATTTCAAGTTTAAAAATATCTATTAATTTTCTATTTAAATATAAGTGTAGCATTTTATTTATATATTACTAACTCAGCATTCAATAATTGATTTCTTACCAAATATTTAGATTTTAAAATACTAAAATGTAATCTATGTTGTTTGAGTGACCATTTAATCACTAAAAAATTACTTGTTATTTACTGCTTAATTATTTTTATGCACTATCTTTTTTTTTATAGCTATGGATTCAGCATCTTCAAAGGTGGGGGTTGCCACAATTTGAAATATGTTACCTCAGCAGTTTAGCTAAAAGAAAGGCCTTCAAAAATACACTAATTTTTTTTCTGCAATATCAAAAAACTTAAAAAATGTATTGTCTTTACATAATAAGAACATTATTTTTAATCATCGTTAAATTAATTAACAATAAATTATTGTAAAAAGTTATTTTATAGATAAGTTTAATTTTATCTAAAAAATTTCACAGATAAAATCCAAAAAATATAACATATTTTTTATCTTCCCACTCCATTTTATTTTTTAAAATCGGTTAATTACTGTTTCCATCTGCTTTTCAATCTAAAGTAGGGTGTTAAAGTGTGTGCATATTCCATTGTTACCTTCTAATCATTATTAAGAATGAAATTCATATTGTTACCAATGAACTAGGGGTGCACAACCTGCAGCTCACCGACTGCTGATGTGCAGTCAGCAAAATTTTCTAAACGAAAAGATTTTTTTTTAAAGTAAAAAATATTGCAAATTTCAAAATTTGCGATCTTTGAGTGTCACTATTTGATGCATTCAATTTGCACAGATTATATTGTAAATCTATGTTTCTCGATTTCTTTTTCAGTTATTACTATGAAATTCCGCATGGTTTTAAGAAAGCCAGTATTTTTAGCGTATTATGGTGCAAGAATTTGAGTAATCACTTATTGATTCTTTCTATTTTGTTGATTTCATTATAAATTCAAGTGCAGTTTGGATCATTTTGTTCTTTTTTTTTTATATTAGTAATTATCAATTCCCATGTGGATTTTAAGATCCCGATACATTTATTATGAGATTACAACTCGTAAGTTATAAATAATGCATTTTGTTAATCACTTTTTTACTTGCTTTATTTGTGCCGATTTCGTCTTAAATCTGAGTGGTTTTTTCCCTTTTTTAAAGACAATTATTGTTACGCTTTTCCACATGATTTTGAAGATCTCGTATTTTTACTACGATTTTATGCCACCATACAAGCTGTAAAACGCATGTTTAAATAATCACTTTTTGACTTGCTTTGTTTTTGCCAATTTCATCATAGATCCAAGTTATTTTTTGGCAGTTTTTTCGATGCATTCTGTCATGGTTTGAAAAATGCAAATCTTTATTACAACATGCAAATTTAAATCACACACTTTAAAAATTACGTATTTACACCTTTTATTCACGCTAATTTCATCGTAAATGTAAGCATTTTTTTTTTTGTTGCAATTATTACAATGCTTTTCCACCCGATTTTGACGATTATGTTGTTTAAACTATGATGTTATTTAGACACATGAGTTTCTTATTGCACATTTAAATAATCAATTTTTGAGACTATTTTTTTTTGCATATTTCATCAGAAATGTAAGTTATTTTCTTGTCGTTTTTTTGGTAGTTGGTCACATTCATTTGTACGTGATATTTAGAATCCTAATATTTTATTCCAATGTTATAGCAATCTGAAAATTCGCAAAGTGGAGGAAAGTATGAGTTTTTAAACGGTCCATTGCTTGTACATAATTTTGTTTTAAATTTTTTGTAGCTTAAATTATTATTTTTTTTTTTTGAAAAGAAAAAAATACTTTTTATTTAAAATTCATAAACTTATTTATATATAATTCATATATATAAGTTTATGAATTATATATAACATAACATTTTTATATATAATTCATAATAATAATGCAAGAAATAGAAATAATATCTGAAGTATAATACTAAATAAGTATTGAATCGTATTTTGTACTTTAATGATTTTATTTTAGTTTTTGTTTAAACCATATAAAGTTCCTTTAATTAAAATATGCATGTATTTATTTACACTTTCATTCTGTGAGTATTACAGTTTTTTTTTCTTTTTTAGAGTTTATATTTTCCCCCAATATATATATATAAATATATATGTATAATATAACAATTATTGATAAAAAGGGAAATTGTTTTAGAAGTGTTTTTTTTTTTTTTCATTTTTGAATGAATTCGAATAAATAAAAATATTTAATTTTTTACAAAGATATTATTAATTTTTTTCATAAAAAAGTTTGTGCTTAGAACAGTAACATTTATATAGAAAATAATATATTTGCCCACAACATGACTAAATATGCATGTGGCCCTTTGTTAGTCAACCTCCTGTGCAAGTGGTTCTTCACTCGAAAAGGTTGTGCCCCCCTATATAAACCGTTAGTGTATCTCTAGTATAAAATTAACAACCATACCAATTATTTCCTATCATTTTATTATTTGCATTGTAAGATATATAAACTTTTACTTTAATACTTATTCAAACCTTTACTTTTTCTGTAGTAACTATGTTTAATTTTTCAAAACTTGGATTGAATTGGTTACATTTCTGAACAATAAAACATAAAAAAATAATATTTTTTTATTTTTTAAGAACTATTTAGCCAGTTTATTTAGATTTCTTATTTTTTCATTTAAACCTGCAAAATATAAAATAATTTAAAAATTTGTGTATTTTACAATTCAGACGTTTCTTGATCATTATTATATTTATTAATAGTGATTATTAAAAATCTGTTTTATTCACATAATAATTTTTGAATAAGCCAGTTAACTGGTTAATAGATCGTATGATGCACGTTAGGCATGTTTTTGTGTTGCACTTCATAACTTAAAATATTGGCATCACTTGTTAATTAACATATTAATGGACTATCCCCCAAAATATTGAGATTTAGTCTTAGTTATGAATTATTACCTAAGATGCAGTTTGTGAATTTCTGATCTTCAGCTCATAAGTTAACATTGTTATTCAGGTGTTCAACACTTGTGAAATTTAACATGCTGAATTTGTTTTTTTTTTTGCATTTGTTAATCGCTTTATCTTACTTTATTTATACTATATTATTTTCTATTCAGAATTGCTGTTAATGATCAAATCATTGAAGTAGATCAAAAGTCATTGGTTGGTGTTACACAAGCTTATGCAGCATCAGTATTGAGGAATACTTCTGGAGTAGTAAAGTATGATGTTCAGAATATTATTATAAAGATTTATTTTTTAATCTTTTTAACTGTTATATTAAATAGCAGTTTACTGTTATATGCCTTATCAGTAACAAAGCTATATTAAAATGTTCGAATCACTTATTCAACTTGTATAAAAATTACATATAATTAGTCTTTTTGTGTTTGATGTCTTTTAATTTAACACGCTTAATGCATATTTTTTCTGAGACTTATGCTCAGCGCATGTTTAAATACATTTTTTATAAATAATTATTAACCAAAGCTCTCTTAAATGAAAAGAACCTCACATCATCCATGTTATCAAAAGTCAACATTTTGCATCAAATGTTAGTGCATATGTCAGATAATTTAAAATGCTTTTAGAAACTAGCTATAAAATTAGTTCTTGATGACTGAGTATTTAGCTAAACTAACACTTTTCTCTCTTTCCATAAGATCTGAATGAAATTATTTTATGAAATTAATACATGAAGTGAAAAAAAAAATTTTTGATAAAAATATTAAAATGTGAAGTAAAATGGAGAGATAAACCACATGGCTACTTTTTCCTATCTTCAAAAATATCCCTTTCTCCAAAAAAAAAGATGAAAAAAAACTTTTTTAAGCTAAATATTTTAAGTCTTGTCTTAAAATTACTAGAAGTTTATTATAAATTGTGTTTTTTTGTTTTTTTTTTTTCTAACTATGAAAATCTTTGTGTTTATAAATTCTGACTAAAAAATTAATAAGTCTCTATTTTTTATTTATTCTAGGTTTTTAATTGGACGGGAAAATAATTCTGAAAACAGTGAAATAGCCCAGTTGATCTCTCAGTCTATTCAAGCTGATAAAGAGCACCAGAAAGTAATTGGTTATCCAGTAAGATCAGCAAATAAGAAATTTTTCTCACTGTATTTATATTTCTTACACTGTTATTTTTTTAAAAAAATTCTTTTAGTTAGCCTCAGTTTAGTTAGTCATCATTTTTAGATGCCTGTATTTTCTATTTCAAAAACTTTTTTTGGGTACATTTAATTTGTTTCATCTGATAAATATAATTTATCTATATTAATTATTACAATTATTAATGGTATTTAATTACAATTATTATGGTAATTAATATACTTAATTATTACAGTAATTGGTCATTAAGGAGTAATAATAAATTGATTAATGTAATTGTTTTCTCTTCTTGATCATAATCGTTTCTACGACAAAATCTAAATAATTTAAAATACTTACATACCTTAAACTAGGTATTCATACTTTGCGGTACTAATATGAATGCAAATTTATTTTTAATTTGGCATTTATGCGTACAATATTTAATTCTTTTTTAATAGTTCGATAGCCACGCTACTTTTCTAAAGGCAAATCTATTAAACCGTACCAAACATTAAGTTGATATCTTAGACTTTCAATACTGTAATTATAAAATGAACAATTTAAAAAAATAATAAAAACATGGCTTACCATCTAGTAAATACAAATTCTTTACTAATTTTGTAACTGTAGCTGAAATTTTATGAAACTAAGGGAAGGGTGTGATGAGTTCTGGTTTGGTTTGAAGATTGATAAATGACTAATTTTTTTTTATTAAAAATTAACCATTGGAAGAAAAAACTCTACTATAGCCTAGATTGTAAAATAGTATTCTGACACTCAGTATGCTATCTACCCAAAAGTATCCAAACAGTACAGAATCAGAGTGTCTTGAAACTTATCATTGATGAGCTTTTTATTTTGGACACAGCTTGAAATTTACTTTCAGGCATTCATCACACCTGGAGTAATGCTGGAATGCTGATGTAAATGTAATGAAGTAATGCTGAAATATGCATCATGGCAGGATGATCATTTTGGCTGGCTTCGTAATCAGCATTCTTATTTGTCCCTAAGGTGTTCTGTGGAATTTAAATCAGGGTTCTGAGATAGCAATTTTTTGAACACCCATTTTTTCAAATCATGTGCAAGTCCTGCTGGAAGAGAAATGGACTTTCCCCAAAATATTGCCATTGAGTTGGGAGTGAATGTCCAGAATGCTCGCATACATCTGAGTTCATGTTTTCAACCACAGAAAAAAGTACCCAGACTAAACACGTGAAAACCGCTCCCACATCGTGACCACCTCAAAGCTTTACAGTAGGCATAGTGCAATCACTTAAAAAGTGTTCATTGAACAGACAGAATGTAAAGCGAGACTTCAAGAAACATTTTCTACATGTCACACATTTACACAGCCATGGAATCCCAGGTGAACAGTTTACTACAGTTACCAGGTGAGTAGTTGGTGAACAGTTTACTACTAGCTCTAATGCCTGATGAACCTCTGAGTGATTTCAACTAATAAAGATTTGTAATTTTGTTTCACTATCCTTTTCAGAGATCTATGATTATGTTCACTAATTTTTTTAGCCGGCCACTTCTATTTTCTACAGTTTCACTGCCTTGATATTTCTGCAGAAGGTCTAAAATTTCATGAATTGATTTCCCACAAAGGTGACACTCCGCTGCCAGGATTGGAGTCACTAAGCCTTTTTGGCTTGCTTTTTGTCTCACAAACTCATAAATATGACCTAAAAACTACTACCAATACTTTAAAAGCTCCAAATTATGTCACCAGCCACATCCTTTTCTTTTGATAGGTATCCAGTTATTTTGCCCGATAGTGTAATGTAAACAAAAGCCAAATAATTTTGAAATAAAGTTAACATTTTTTATTAATCTTGAAATTATTTTAATATTTTAAGTGCCAAAAATTCAAAATAGTTATATTGTAGAACAGTAACCGAGTAATAATATAAACATTTAGACTTCTTTTGGATGTGATAATTCAAAATTTTGTTTTCTAACATCATTCATAATTTAATATTTGTCAGGCACTTTTATATATAAATAATATTTTTTATTTTTCAATTTTATTGCCTAATAAGTGTAATTTTTTCATAGCGAGATGAGGATCAAAGTGGAGATAGCTCTCACTTGTCTCAAGGATCTACTCCTGAAGAAGGTGAAGATGCTCCAACAGTAGAGGTTTTTGATCTTACTAGTGGCAGTAGTGGTTCATTGTCACCAGATACAGATGTTGAAACTTTGCGTTCTAAATTGAAAGAGGTAATTCATTTTATTTCTGGATTTACAGATTTCATAAGATTTTAAATCCAATCTATCTGAGAGATTATTTTCATGGTGATTTTGACTGTTGAGAAATTTTATGATACAGTACAAAACCATTTATCCGGTATACAGAAAACCAGGGAAAATTTCGCTAAAGTGGGCAGGGAAGGGGCAAATATTTTTTTTTATTTTTTACTGTTCGTCTGAAAGAATTGGTGGTTTTCTGGTAAGCTGCTATCAATCAAACATAAAGGAGCGACTTGCTGACTTCATTTTCTCTTTGATTTATGAGAGGGAGGGGGAAATGCATTGCACACATATATCAGTGAAGAGAAGGTAAAAGAGAAGTAAAAAAGAAACTTTTATCCCTATACTGTATTAAGAAAAAGTGAAATGGAATTTCAAAATATTAATTAGAATACGGAAATGATTAAAATACAGCTATTTTTTATTCAATATAAAGTAAAAATATAGTTAAGCTGAATTTTATCATTCAAAAAATAATCAGAAGAATTTAATAAGTTTTAACTCAAAACGTGCTAGTGGAGGAAAAAATGCAAGAACCATCAAGCTTTGTCTGGATTAGTACTACCAAAATTCATAATTTATTAAAATAAGATGAATAAATTATTATTGGTTCCAAGTAAGTGATTCGAAAGAGAGTTATAAGACATCTGTTTGAATCCAAATTTGAGTAGTTATTTTTTTAAACCAATATTTAAAAAGCGGATTAAATAAAATAAAAAATTGGTAATATGTATTAAAACATTGTTTGCCATTGCTTATAAGAAATAATGTTTTACAAAATAAAAAAAATAAATATGAATCGGATCCTGTTAAATTTAGAATCTTTAATGAAAATTCGGAAATCGTCTGAAAGAAAATGATGGCTTCGTTCTCCTCAAGAATTCTCAAGTCAGGAGAAAACACAGTTTTAACCCAATACCAGAAACTGTCAGAGAATCTGACGCTATCAAATTGGGGGATTTAACTCTTTCATTTTCAATACCATAATTTGTGCTTGCACAATAGGGGATTAGAAAGATCTGAATTTTGTTTTTTCTGTACCAACCGTCATAAGGTGCATCCTCAAGATTCTTCTGTTATTCTAAATTCTCGTTCTCAATTGTATGTCTGAGTAAATGAACTTGAAACTTCTGCTTTGATATTATTGACATGTTAGCTTTTCTTTCAATCCATTTTTGTTATTTTTGATTTATTATGACAAAATATTGTTTTATAATTTCGCATAATACATTAATATGATTAATTATACAAATGAAACATATTTTTATCATCTGTTATATTTATTTGACAACTATTAACGAAATAATATTTTTCAATTGAATAAATTTTAATTCTTTAGAAGTCTGGTAGCATTTTTAAGTTTTTACTTTATGTAGAATCACATCTGCTTTCATAAAAACTGTCCTTTATAAAAAAAAAATTTAAAGAGAAGATTGTTTATTAATACAAAGCAAATAATTATTTATTAATAAAAGCAGATTATTTTATGAAGCAGATTACAGCTTTCTCTTTTTAAAAGTGTAATGTTTCTGATTCCACTACATTTTGAGTTTTTTTTTTCCACCGTTCACAATAAATTAGTTCTTTTTATTCATGAATTTTAAGATAAAGTTGTTGTTTTTTTTTAATTCAATTGAGGTAACCTAACATCTTATAACATTCTGACTTATCCCAGGTTTTAATATTTTACTATCGTTTTCATTTGGAAATTTTCAAGTGTTGTTTTTGTTTAATTTAATTACTAAGTTTTCCTAGTATTTTATTGTTTTCTTTTTTTTTTCTTATAATTAGGCATAGTATATTAGGTTTTTTCCTTATGCTTAGCATGAGCCCTGTATATCTGTTGATGTATTTTAACAAACCCAGGTGGCTTTACTGGGGTGCAGAAAATTCTCAGGGCTTAATATCTAAAATAAAGCCTAGCGAAAAAAAATTTAGTTGCAATGGCCTTTTTAATATATTTTTAGAAAGTAAAGTCTGTATTTTGTTAAATTTTCTGTTCAGAAAAAAGAAATTTGATTTTGAAAATTTCTTGAATTTATTAGCCTATGTATTTAAATAATAGCAATCAAAGTATATTGAAATAGTAATAATATATAATTGTAATTTGTAAAGTGGCAATTTTTTATGATGAAAAATTTTGTAGCAATATTTTCATTTTCATATTCAGACCAAAAATTTCCTTGGAGCTGCCTGAATTTCTCCTGAACTATGTTCGTGCAATCAGATATACTCTGAACCACTGGAGTTTACAATTCAAATAAATTGCATGCAATAAGTATAATGTGTATGTATATTGCACATTATTTATTTTATTGATAAGTAATTTATTTAGCAAAATTTTTAATATACTTTTTTACTTATTTAGTTCATTTATATTAAATCAGATTAATGTATTATTAACAATTAATTAAAAATCAGATTAGTGAATTATGTTTTTCTTCATATAACTTTGTATAAAAAGTTTCTAAGTTAAATTTATTAAACATTAACATTAAGTTAATAATTTCAAAGAACAATTTAGCTTGCTAACTGCAATAATAAATAATAATTGTTTGAAAATTCATTCATTCATTCCAGATAACAGTGAAAAAAATGCACTTGGTCTAGGAAAAAATCCACTGGGTTTTTCTGGGCTAGGCCAATCTTTGTGAACCCTGTTTTAAATGCTCTTCCTGCACATGTATTTATTTATTTTAATTTTCTGTGTTATTGATTTAAAAAAGACAAACCAGTTTACTAATTTTCCAGTTAAAAAGATTACTTCCTTTAAAAATTTAGACCTAAGTTATATAATTAAAAAAGTTTATACATAGTTTTATTCTGTACATGCAGGCTTTTTTAGAAGACACAAAGCTCTTCTGTTATAAATTGGTTACTTATACATTTATTACTATTAAAAATATCTCGTAAAAAGATGTTAGTGCTAGTAAGATTTGTCTTTGAAAGCCAGAAGAAATTACGGGGTCAGACTTAAGATACATGTTTTTGTGGATAATTATCTCTTATGTGAGAGAAAATGACAAACTTGTACAGAGCAACAAATTTCATGAAGCACAAAAAAACAACAAGAGATAAACTGAAATGTCTAACATTCCTTTATCTTTTCATCTCAAAGTGTGTACACAAAGCCAGGCACCCCATCGAATGCTACCTGCCCGTGACCTCATTCTTTTAATAAAACAGGCAATTTTCTCTATCAGAAATGTTACTATTGTGAAAAGTATTATAAATTTACCTATACACATTCAATAAATGTTTTTTATACTCAAGTGCCATTAAGTTATTTATATTCTTACATTATCTGAATTTAAGTAAGTAATTTAAATGAGTGAGTTATTATCCAGTTTATTTGTTTAAAATATGTAAATATTTAAAAATTGTATATTAGCTATATCTACATTTAAGAGATAAGAGGAGGCTCTTTATGTTAAAACAATTTTTGTTTCATAAAATAAACAAATTCCGACTTAATAATTAAAGGTGGCTTTGCATTGTGGTTCTTTACTATATGTGTGATGATACATTATTAGTTTTATTATTTAGGTTCAGTATCGAAGTGCTCTTGCAGAAGCAGATCTACAACAAGCCAAAGAAAAGGTAGGACTAAAAATTTTAACTTTTTACTTAAAGTTCAATTTTTGTATTGTACCGATAGTGTGCATGCTGAAATTTTGGTTTGATTGGATTGTTTTAATTGCAATTCTCTGCATGCTGCTCTTTAATGAGATTAAAAAATTAAATGAAACAGAACAAAAGTATATAGTTTCTGCAGTTTTTATATTATCAGAATTTTCATTTCGCTTCATTGACTTTGTTAAATATATTACAAAATATTATTAGATAAAATACATTTTAAAATTGTAATTCTAGAACTGCTACAAGTTTATTACTGTTTCTGCCAAATAGGTTAAATTTATTATTACATTGCTTTATTTTTTATTTTTTTAAGAACTAATTCTTCGTTAAAAATATCTTGTAGGAAATAATCAGGGCTCCCCTGGGTCAGGAGAATCAAGAAAAACCTGGAATTGTTAGGGAATTTTATTTTGACTTAAAAACGCCGGAAATAGTCAGGGAAAGTTGCATTTTTTTACAGAAACCTGGAAAATTCATACATCATACCTGGAAAATAACCAGTCCTAGAATTGTCAGTTACAGTTAAAATTACATGGTATACATAAAATATAATCTAGATTTACATTGAAATTTTTTTGAAATACCTGGAAATGTCAGATTATATAAAAAAAAATTTTTTTAGCTGGTTATATACAGTACGGTATTTTATACAGTAAATTTATATTTGATGACTAATACAGAGTTTGTATGCACATTAATAAGAGTTATTAGCATTAAATATTTAGTATTACGTATTTAGCTTTACACATTACTAATATTTAAACTGGCACTTATATAATAGTGAAATATCAAAGTGAATAATGTTAATTATTCACTTTGACCACACCTTTAAAAGCAAATAAACATTCATGAAATACTGATGTTATTTAAATGGATGGAAACATGTTTTCTTTTCAATTTTAGATTTACTCAAAAGGCATTCAAAAAGCATTAAACATTATAAAATTGCAAGTGTTTGATTATTTCCTATGATTTCTTAAATTAATTATTCACTGTCGGAAAAAGTCATAAAAATTTGAAGGTTAAAAGAATAAATTCATTAAAAATGGCTTAGATTAACAAATCTGCACATGTAAACATGAATAAATATCTCTTAATAATTCTTCATGTTAAAGTAAGCCAATTTTGAACATGGGAGTAAATTAAATTTCCCAGAAAAGTGTGTCTTCTAAAAGTAGTGAAATTGTGACTACAATTTGAAAGTAATTTGTAGTCATTACATTTAAAAGAAAAGTAGTTGTAGTTAACTACAAAAATAATGTTGTTTTTCCGACCACTGTTTGTGATTTTATACAGTCTCTAGGGGAGAACTAATTTCAAAATTAAAAATCTATAAAGCAAAGGGTGATAGAAAAATGAAGCAAATTGTATGTTAAATGTGAAAACTGTAAAAATTGTATGCATAGTCTCGGAATTAAGTTACAGAAGTAAGTTAAGTTACACTGTACGGCATACAATGCCCATTAATGGCATTGTATGCCGTACAGTGTCTTGAAAAAAATACATGCTATATGATTGTCATCTGACCTGTGAATTTTCAGTACCTGAAACTCATGTTGTTCAATAGAGTGGATGTTTTAAACCTCCTAACCCTGTACGACAACCTTCTTTTATGTTTTAACTCTGTAACTGATCGTGCTGGTCATCAGTAATTTGTAGTTTCATCTGTTGGCAATTTTTGTAACTAAATTCTGAAATTCCTGTAAAATAATTATTCAGCTTTCACAATGAACATATTGTTTGTTTCATTCATTCCTCTAAAGGCCTTTGTTTCTGAGAATTTCAATTTTGAAATAAGTCAGTCCAGGGTATCCGCGCACCTGGAAAGTCATGAATTTTGGCATTGAACAAAATTGGTCATGAAATGTCATGATTTTAGCTATTTTTTTTAAGAAAATCATGGAAACTCATGGATTTAAGTCACTAAAAAATCTAATTTTTAAAATGGGATTTAAAAATATCCCCCCCCCCCTTCATGGTGTTCCATATATCTGAAGTTGTAATAAAATCCCCACACACAGTCGTATTTTATTAAAAAATAAAATGTTTTTATCATGTTCTATGAAAGTTATGGTGTTCTTTCGAAAAATGAAAGAAAAAACATTATTTCTAGATCGAATTATGTTTTAAACTTCTGTGATTTCAGAATTTTTGTTATTATTTATTTTTATTTTATCAATTTAAAATTCTAGCTGAAGCAAGCCAGTCATTGGCGAATTTTTTTTAAATTCCGAAATAAGAGCAGAAAAATCAGGAGTATTTCTTTCCTTTCGGATGAATAAGAAAAGTATCTTTGTAATATAATTCCGCAGAAAAAAATTATTTGTTTTGTAGTTTTTTCAGCTATTTTATTGCTTCAACTCTTTCTTTATTCTGTTTTTTTAAATTTAAAATCATTAAATATGACTATGCAAAGTATAACAGTTTTGGTTATACCTATCATTTCAATTTATGTTATTACAGTGGAAAGTCGCGTATCCGGAATCGGCGGGACTTTCCTAAGTCCGGATAATCGATTTTTCCGTATAATAGACCCCCAAAGTAAACAGAGATTAAAATGATTTGAATCTAAGAAGCAGAAATTAAATAACATTATTTTTCGGGCCATAATGTTTTAGTATTAGAATGATATCTTATCAATCAAAAACAAAATATTTAAAAAATAATAATTATTGCTATTATAAAAATAAATATAGGAAACTAAAAAAATTTACAGTTATGAAAATATTAATTGCTCTCTCCGCCATTTTGAACTAGAACGTTTCAAGCAAGAAGGGGAAATTCCCGTCATTCATTCATTAAGGTGGGTAGGTGAAGAAGCAAAATTCATTTCCTTCTTACTTGTCATTCAAGTTGAAGGGGGGGAAGTGACAAGTTCTTATTTTCTCTCCTGTCATTGGCTATCAATCAAGCATAAAGGCGTGGCATCCTGATTGGGTTCTCTTTATTTTTTCTTGTGTGACTAAAGGGGATTCCCCCTCCACTTTAACGTTTGCTGTGTTTACCCTTTTTCACAGTACACTAACACTATTCCCTAACACTTTATCAAAAAGGTTCCAGGAAATGCCTCTTTTACTAGCCAGCTGCACAGGAAAGAAGGGGGGAGGGGACTCAATTGTGCTCTTTTGAAAACAAATCCCCCCCCCCTTTCCTGCATTCCAGAGGAGGAGCGTTACTAACGGTACGGTCTTGGTAGATCTTCTGTTCTCTTTTCTGTTGATTTATGGGTTTAATGCATAGATCACTAGAAGCTAAGAAAGGAAAAAACCTGTCAAAAAACTTTTTTTTTTTTTTAAGAGAGTGGGGAAGATGAAGAAATGTTTGTTTATTTTGATTGTTAAAAAGTGTCCGGGAAATTGACCTTTCCGGAAAAGGGACGTCCGGATATGGGACGTTATACTGTATAATGCTTTTTAAAATTTCTTGTTGTGTTTTTGTTGGAGAAAATAGTAACTTCGTGAAGTCATGAAAAATTCTAGGAATTAGTCATGAAAAGTCATGAATTTGAAAATCTAAAATGTAGCAGATACTCTGTCAGTCTGTCTGAACAGTGTTTTTAAACTTAAAGTGCAACAACTCTTTTTTTATTCACTGAAATATTGTCTCATATTTTCCTAATTTATTTGTTGTAATTGTATCATTTTTTTTTCCAACTACAATAAAAAGTCTTGCATTCGAAATCACCAAGAATTTCGCAAGTCTTGAAAATACATTTTTCAGTATAATAGGTCTTTAGAGTAAAAAAAGATCAAAATGTGTGTTAATCAACAAAGTTATGGATAGTTAATGTCAATTTTCATACAGTAACATTTTGTTAGCGTTTAAATGACAATTATAGAATCTTTTTATTTGAAGAATGTTGAATATAAAGTAATTCTCACTGGTAAAAAAAATCCAAAATAAACAGCAGATAAATTTGACTTTCTCTTTCATGAATAAGAACAGTTTTTTCTCCATTTTTATTATTTCATTGTGAGAGTTATGAATACAGACATTATGCAAAAAATGACGTTTAAGAACATGCTCCAAATTTAACAAGTAAATCCTATTAAATAATAAAAGTAATAGGCAACAGAATTTGAAAACTTTTTAATTAATGACATTTTCGAATCAAAACAAATTCTATTTACAGATGTTTCTTTCAAGCACCATTAATATTTAGCTTTATTTCTCTCTGCAAAGTTTATTTTCTTTTTCTTTAACCAGGAGGACACACATCTCCTGAGTAAGCATTAAGACTTATGGGAGTCATAGAATGACCTCAAATTAAATTCCTTCATGTGCTGCTAATAAATATAGTTTTAATCGGAAACATAACACTTTTGAGATTTAGATATGTATAATTTAATTATTTGTAACTTAGAGGAGAAGCAGGTGGCTAGTTTTCAAGAATTAATTTTTGGAATGCATGGGGTCATAGAATGTCCTCTGCAAGTCTTACCTGTTAATACTCTTGTCTTCTCAACTCTTTAAGTTTGTTCATTAAAGCAGTATAAATGTTTATATCCACAACACAGTAAAAAAAAAAAGAGGAAATTGTTTTCTTTTTTTTACATGATATTTTACAAAAACTTGTGAATTCTAAAAGTGGAGATGAAATTTTTATTTTGTTTGTTAAAAGGTATCTGAAAAAATAGATGTTTCAGGAAAACGGACTTTCCAATATGAGACTTTATTCTGTATAAAAATGTCTTCAAGTATGTATAAGTCAAATTAATAAATTATCATTAAGCAAGAAAATCTTTGATTTACCAATAATCACATCTAGGTTTTTTCTTTGTTATAACTTTAAGAAAAAAAAAATTTCGAAACAAATTTAATATGTGTTTGGTGTAGTTTTAAAACAATAACTGAACTCTTGGACCTTTGTTTGCTTATACAATTACTGTGTCATGTTTAAAATTTGTTTGAAACTTAATATTTTGTTAATTTTATTTGTAGTTGCAATATGTTGAAAAAATGGAGTCAGAGCGCCAAAAAATGTTGAAAAAGATTGATAGTTTACAACATCAGGTAAATGAAAAAGAATTATCAATGCAAGCAGCAAAACAACAAATAGAAGAGTATAAATTTAAAGTAGGAAAAGCTCAACAACAACTTCATGATTTAGAGAAAAAATACAGTAAGGCTAAGAAGATCATTAAAGAGTTTCAGAAAAGGTATATATTCTCATCCTTAACTAATGTGTGGAAAAAAACAGTGTGTAATAATGGGATTTAAGTTTTAAATTTCTTGATTGATTTCTTTAATAAGCTAGTAGAGTTATTGTTTGTACTTGCTTAAGGTGTGCACATTCTAATAACTTTTTTTCCATCAACTTTTAAGGCGACCTTTAAAATTGTAAATACTAGAATGTTGAAAGGTTTTTACTATTTGAATAATGAATTTACACAAGTCTCTATAGTAGCATATTTATTCTTAAAAGAGTAATAAGCCAGTAAATACTGTGAACAATAGGCATGTCAATCATAAATTATTCTTATTAGTAGTAGTATTTTATCATTATATGAAAATCACACACAGTCAAATCCCATTTAGTCGAAGGGTAGCAAAAATCTTTTCGTTTTAACAGATAAAATAACAAAAGTCATTATAGATTATTTTAAAAAAAAAAACACTAAAGCAAAAATATCAAAACATTTAAGTGGTATGTTTAAAAATATTTTTTATAGTCATTTTAAGTTAAATAGTAATTTTATGATATAACGCACCATTCTAACATGAACCTACAAACTAGTCTGGTTGATTCCTAGCTTCTCTTATTTATCTTAACAAAGTAATTTCAGTTTCTTCATTTTTAGTAGTTCTCATCCATTTTCTCATGGGATCAAACTGATTGCACAAGACATTAGTTTTCAAAAGAGTACTTGCAGGTATTCCATACTTTGATGCAATAGCTGATTTTTATCCCATCACTTGCATTGTATAAAATTATCTGCTTAGTTTCTTAATTAAGAGGCTTTTTTCTCATTTATTTTCGCAACCAAATGAAATATTCACAATAACCACCTAGGTTGGCACCACTCACATTGTAAAAAGTCCATGTTCTCATTACATGCTTAGTTGATGACATCACCAATTGCTAATTGACGTGAACTAATTGTGATTCCCAAACTCAGATCCAAGAAGTTCGGGAAAAGTGATAAACTTGTTTTAACGAGGGAGGTTGCTGCATAAGTTGCGATGACAAAATTAGTTTTCATTAGGTGCAAAATTTGCTTCTCCCATTTTGAAAAAATTTGTTTTTATGTTCATATTAAACAATGCAATTATTTTTGTTTTCAAAGATAACATGATGTGTAAACTTGTAAGCGTAAATTCAGATTCACGGTAAAGTGTGTCCCACTTAAATAAATCCACCTTGATTTTGTGTTATAGCCAGATGCAAAGAAAATTAATGAGAATCAAATATATATATAAGAAAGTACTTACAAGAATAACTTACAAGTACTCAGTTACTAAATACTTACAAGAAGAACTGACTTCCTACTCTACCTTGTTCGAGAAAAAAATTTATTAAGTAAAAAAGGAAGGAAAAAGTGTCATGCTGAAATGCTGCCACTTTTGATTATAACCAAAATACATACCATGTTTTACATGACTTACAATATATGATGTTGCATACCATTTACTAATCCTATAGAATCAATATGTCAAGTTTCAATGGTGGCAGTGTTCATTTCTGCCACTGACTGAAACTTCTATATTTTGGCATATACCGCATTCACTGCCATTAATTGCTAACATTGCAACTGGTGCAGCAAGAATTTGATTTTAGACTTATAAGTCTGTCACATCTCTAAAGGTTCTGAACGTTTGTGGGGGAAAAAACTTGTAATGTTTCTTTATCAGGTAAACTGAAATTTGTTGATGTATTAAGAATATTTTGTTAGTTATAAGCATTCCAAACCCAGAAGGGAATTATGACACATCTTGCATATATATTTATGTAGAAAGAGAGAGAGTTTTAGACTATTTTTTAACCTTAACAAACTACCTAATTTGTAGAGACAGACTACTGTAACTTTTTGTATTTTTTAGTGTAAAGTGATGTATATTAATGTATTTATTATAAATTTAGGAAATCTTCTTTTAAAATTTAAAAACAAATGCTTGAATAATTCTATCAAAATGACTTAGTTAAGTCATTTTGAATAAATAAAACTACTAGCTAGTTAGTTAGAAAAATAGCTAGCTAGTTATTTTTATTATTTCTTTAAAAAAAGAGGCACAACAATTTTGGACTATTAATTGAATTTCTATTTAATTGATAATTGAATCTTAATGTTGTTCTTTTCTGGTTGTTACCTTTTAAGTCCTTACCATTAACTGCTCTATCCTATTTCTCTACAAAAACTTCAATATTAATAACATTTTTGTAAGCTTCCGAAATGCAGAAACATCTACAAAATTCATTTTGTCAAAAGAGATTGTTATACATTCTATAGAATCTAAAAGCAAACATATTTAAATGACTTTTTTTGTTTGAAAAATACTTTTTGTATTGTTAATTAGTTGTTGGTTTCTATTCAGTTCTAATGAGCAATTCAAAACTAATTTTGGAAAAACTCGCCACTGTATTTATTAACTTACTCAGTTTCACCATATTCCATTAAACAAAATGGGTTAGATTTCATGCGTCTCCAAAAGTCCTTTGAATTTAATATATTAACCAATATTTTATTACTTAATATTGTAAAATTATGATTTTTTATGCCTTAAAAATAAGCATTTAACTTTGGGTTTGTCAAAGTGGACCCAGCTCAAAATAACCCAGTAGCTTTTTTTTAGATTTGACCCACTCAAAAATCTTTATCCTTAAACCTACCAAGTGGTACAATTTACAAGTTTGAATCAGAATTTTAATACATTTTCTTTGAAATTGTTAAGCCAATTTGTTTTAGAAATTAGTGACTGATTGTTTTATAAATTCAGCATTGTTACTATATATACAAAACATGAAGTAAAAGATATTTCAGTTGTCTGATTTTTTGAGACAAAATCAAAGATAAATGTACAAAATTCTATAAAAAAAAAGGATGCCCACATCTAAAAAAAAACATTTGCTAAATTATAATTTATCTATGAAACAAATTATGTGTCTTATTACTCATAACACACATTGCATGATTTATTTAAAATATAACCTTTTATGGTCTTTTACAGTACATTAACAGATATATATGATATGCATCTTGTATCTATTTTAAAATGAATATGGTGATCTATATATTATGAAAAATCTGCAGAAAGAAATATGCTCATATTATACCAGATCATCTTTATCTCTTTTAAAGATAAAGTTTTGAATTCATCGCCTCTAATTAATCAACTAGTCACTGATATGATGACAGCTAGACAATAAGGAATACTAAATATATATAAATTCAGTTTAAAAAAAAAACGTTGTTTAGGGACTAAAAATTTGAGAAGAACTTTCTATAATGTTTAAATTGTCAATAAAGGGAAATAACGAGAAAGTTTCTGTTATTTTAATCTTTAGTTTAATAAAACTGTTATAATCTTTGAGTTATGCTTATATTTTGCATTTTAATGAATAGTTACAAAAAACATCTTTTATTTACCATTTGTGTATCTTATTTCTGTTTGATAAAATTTTTATTAATTATGTAAGAAAGCTAAAATTATACAATGATAATATCTGATTAAATTATATATTAATGGAATGTGGGCATGTTCATTTTTTTTTTCATAAATTGAATTATGTTTATTACATTTCTGCAAGTTCATGAAAATCTTAAATTACATTTATGGAATGCTTAGAAAGTAAGTGTTTAAAATTTGTGATCTTTTTTTCCCCATTTATTTCCAAAGCTGAAGCTTCACTTTTAATGCTAATAACTTTTTGAGTATTTTAAGGCATACACAAGATTCATTCATGGAAAAAGTTTAAAAAACATACCATATGCTAAATCTTTTTACTATGTGTATCTACATTCCATGAATTTATAATTTGCAATGCTTATATAAATTCCATTATCATTAACTTTCTAACATTAATTCTAACAAATTATGTATTTATTTGCATTTTAAAACAGACTGCTTAATGTATCTTGCTTTATGTTTTACAAAGAATGATCTAAAAAATTTCATCATTTTGCAATTCATTATATATTTTGATTGCAGAAAAATGACTAAAATAGTAGTTGTCTGAACTATTTCTTCTATTAATCCCTTTGATATCAATCAAGCAATAATTTTTCAGTATATACTATCATACTGTATTTTATTCTCATATTTAGTGTATATAAATATGCATGTAAGATTTATATGGAAAATCCAATTTATCTGCAGGTAAAATAATTTGGGTATTTTTCTTAAGGAAACCAGGTTTTGACAAACCTTGATTTGTCCACAATTAATGTAGATAAATCAGGATGCTGATACATTAAAAAAATATACAATAAACCCTGTCATATCATATATCATTTTAACTTTATAAAGCAAAAGGAAACTAATAAATTTTGACATGCTTTTAAGAATATAATTAAAATCTAGTGGAGGTAAAAGGCATAAATATTTTAAAATAATTTATATGCCCCTCACCATTTTGAATCTAATATTTTAAATATTTAAAAAAAATATATAACTATTGAAATTATAGCTACAAATAGTTACTAAATACGCGTCACAATTTCAAACAAAAATTTCATTTTCAAATATTTAAATATATATGTTATACATATAAATTATTTTATTATCCATTAAAGAATAATCAGAGTTACTTTTTAAGATTTTCTTTCAATTACTAACTGTTTATTTAGTGTTCCATTTATCTTTTATTCATTATTACAGGGAAAAAGATTATATTCAACAGGAAGACTTTAGAGTTCAACAAATTCAAGAGAAAGACCAAGAATATAATGCATTAGTTAAAATATTAAAAGACCGGGTAAATATTTTTTGATGAAATTTAAATCATTGTTTAAAATGATTTGATTTTTCACATTTTTTATTTGAACAGTGCTTTTTATCACTCTAATTAGCAACACTCTTAACCCAAATATGATAGACTGGAAAGTAAGTTTTCATCATTAGAGAAAATTACTTTATCCATGATAAGATTTGAATATTAAAGCTTAAAAAATTTGGAAAATATAAAAATATATGTTTCTTCATTATGTAAGTAATTAAAGTGTCAATACTGTTAAAAACTGAATTTGCAATTTTGCCAATTGTGTAATACTTTCCTTTTCTTAAAAAATTTAAATAACTCTGACACTTTAATTGAAAGAAATTTCAATTTTGCTGTCTAAAAATTTGAAATTAAATTAAATTATTCAAAAATGGCTAAGAATGTTTTATTATAACAAATAAAAATTATTGTGCAGTTTTTGCTAACTTCTTTCTGATTGTTTTTCTTGAAAGTCAACCTCATTTCTTGACTTATGCATGCAACTTAAAATTAAATGTTTTCAGTCATTGTGGATTTATTGTTTGATTGCCTAACTTTGAAAAAAATTTAACAGGATGACTTTAAACATGTGTTTAAAAAGTTTCTAGTTCTTATTTTTATCTATTTTTGTCTGTTTCTGCACCATATAGCAACACCACTTTGACAATGACTTTCAAAATTTATACTGTCCTAACATGTTCTTGTTTATGACTATCTATATGATGATATAACTTTGACGGCATTCATATTTACTTTAAGCAAAATGAAAAAACAGAGCACCCAAGTAACTTTCAAACTTATGACCATATTTTCATGTATTAAATTGCAATCACCATAGTTCTAGAGGTGCCTTTTTTCATGTGATATTTATTTTTGAGTTAGCCAATCATATTTATAATTAGCAAACTATTGAAAAATAAGAAATCAGATGCAGAAACATACTTTTAAAAATAAAACCTTTTCCAATTAATTGAATCTTTGATGTTTAAGATATTGGTATAGCTACAATCTAGAAAATGTGGCCCTATATATTTAATGGGAAGAGCAGTCAGGCATAATTTTGATCCCTTTTTGTTATTCTTTTTCTTCATATTTTTCAAAAACTAATAACTCTATTAAAAAAAATTTCCATTCAATTTTAAATAAGTTATGCTGACTTGTAATCATTGTACTTGTTCAGTCAGAGAAATTTATACTAAAGAATAATTTTTAATAGTTGTGTATATTATTATTATTTAATTTAATAATAAAGAAAACTATTTTTATAGTTATAGAATATTGAAAAGCTTTCATTAAGTTTAATATGGTAATTTTAAATGTTAAAACTTAAAATGAATCTATGGAATAGCTCTTAATAAAAGAAACATATTTAAATATTGTTAAAAATAATATGCTATTTTAACATATTTTTAATAGTTATTTCAAATGTCGGATTTTATTATACTCAATAATTCAGCTTGCTAGAGCATAAAATATTTTCTTGTGTTATTATTCAAAAATTGTTTGATTTTCATTAAATGAAATAGTTATTAAAGTTTTTTTAATAGAATTATTTTAATTGAAGTCATTTTATAACTACTATATAAAAACATTTAATTCTTCCAAATAACTCCAGAGATATAACACTAAACATTAAAAGTAAAAATTTCTAACATTACATTAAAAGTTTTTGACTTCTGTTAATTAATTAGCATTTACAAAGTGGCCTTCATATCTTGAATGTTACATATTAATACTTAAAAATGTAATCTTTAGATAATAAGAATGTTTTTATTTCTTTTTGTAAAAAATATGCTAATATTTTGTACATTTAAATCTTTTAAATATATTATTTTATTCATATTTAATATTTAAATATATTGAATTTTGAACTAATTAGAAAAAATAATTAATTTCTTTCAGGTCATCTTACTTGAACATACTTTATCTGAGGTTCAAAGATCGGCTGGCTTACCAATTGAACTACCATATGATTCTCATCAATTAACACCAATATTAAAGAAAAAAAATGGTGTTCACTCAGAAACCAAGCTTAGTAAGCCTCTTTTTTTTTTCTTTTTTTTTTGACTTAATGTTGCTATGAGATCAGCTTTCATTTTAAAATAATTGATGATTTAATTATAAGTTTAATTATTCTATATTATCATTGTTTAAATACTCTGAAATATTTTAAAGATTTATTATTTTTTACAATTGTCTGACTTTAGGGACCTATACCCCCAACCGGCTTTAACTAATCAGTAATGAATTGAAGCATTTGATATTCATTGGTCATTATACCTATATTTTATTTTTTTAACTATAATTTAACTACAAAATGTGCCTGTTACATACTTTTTTACTCCTTGTGAGTATTTCAAGCACAATGTGTGATTAAGTAATGATAATAAATATTTTAATGGGAAATATTGCTTAAAGATGCATAAGTTAATTAATGGAGAATTATTTTTATTTAAATCTTTTATTAAAGTTTTTCTTATATATATACTAATAATGTAAGCTCTAGTGTTAAAAAAGCACTTTTTTATCTTCATATTTTCAATGAAAATATTAGAACTATGCTTTTACACATCTTAAAGCAAAAAATTGTGTTAGGAGTAGGGTTTTCTTCTGGAGAGTAATGTATACCTATCAGGAAACTATATGTACACCTTTCAGGTTCAAGTGAACCAAGAGTAGAAGAAACAAGGAATTCCTTTTTTATTTCAAATAAAAATAACCAAGTTTTGACATAATGGAATGAATTGAATTTTAAAGTAGTTTGTGCTGTTATAAAACATAAATGAATTAATTTTTTGTATTTAATAAATTTTATATTGAAAATTTTTTTTACAAAATTTATTAATACTAAAACTTATTTTTTGTTTAGATTCATTATTAAGTAACTGTAACATTTTCAGAGAAATTAATTTTACATATTTCTGTGTGAAATAATTTAAATTATTAAAACATGTCGTTTAGATCGTTTTATAAAGAGGAAGGGAGTTAGTGACTTCACATCTGCCATTATTCTTACTCTTATTGCAAGGTTAGTTTCCTTTTCATAATGGTAATATTACCCGTACAAATGTTTCTCAGTTTCAAACTTTAGGTATTCTTACAATGTGCCTTATATATGCCCTCCAACTTTGCCCATCTAGCTTTCAGTAGCACTCGCGCAACACACATTTACGGCATCCCGCAATATTTGCTATGCTCAATTCACTTATAATTTCAAAAAGCAGTTGATAAATATAAGAAAATAGATTTTGAAACTAGCGTAAAATGTTATTTCACATTGAGAAATTTTTTAAAAAATTAAAATACTATAGACTTTTAAAAAATCATGTTATTTAGATACAATTTTACTTCACATACAGGAAGGTACACTTTTCTAAGGATATAAAATTATTAAATTGCAAATGAAAGTAAAAGTTTTATTTTACATTTATACAAATTTCAAAGAAAAATAATATAACATCTCAGTAAAATGCAAAAAGTGAACTCTCCACAACTTTTTCTCTACATTCATTCAATTGTTAACAAAAAAAAATTACCTATTTTATTTAGGAAGGTAAGATTCTAAGATGTTTCCTATTAAATATTTTTTACACCAAATTTTAAAGCAATTAAGTCAAAAAAACAATTTAATACCAATTTATTGAAAGAAAAATAGATTATATAAATGAGTTTCTTCCTAATAAAGCTTTCAGAATTGGAAAACAATATTTAAAAACTTATATCATCTAAAGCTTACACATTACGTGGTTTCTCCCGACCAAGGCTATCTGCTCATGACGTCATTTTCGGCGATACGCAATCGGGGACATCCCATGCTTGAAAGAGGACAACAGCGGAAGCGGATGGATCAGACAGGCACTTTCATTTAATCCGTAGCCTTTTACTATTCACCAGTAGCTCCGTAGTTTACCTCCAATTTCCGTAGCAGTTGGTGGGTATGCTGATATATATTTAATTTTTTGAATAGCATACTTTTTGTAGCAATTTAAAATATGGAATAAGATTCATTTATGATCTTCAAAGATATCATACCAGCCAATACATATACCATTGCAACATGTAAAAACTAGTTCAAAAATCCACAGGATTAATGGCTATCATTGTAAAAGAAGGGAGGAGTTCAGGGTGCAGCTATCTTGCTTTTCTATGCATAAAAGGAGTTGTTATTCATATTGCATCAACAATGCCTTCTGAATAATTATGAAGATAATAGAAACATAGATTGACAGGAAACTGTTAAACCCTGTTTTCAAGTAGAATAGTAATTACTAGTTGGGGGTGATGATTTTATTTAATAATTGAAGAGCTTAGTGGAAGTAGACTCCAAATGACATTCTGAAAAATGTAAAATTCCAGGTTTAAAATCATGTTTTAGTCAGCTGTATATAAATATAAAAAACTTAATTTTTTTTTCTTCATCAGATATAAAAAATTTTTAAAAAAAAAAATATGCATTGCAATCAGTTTCCTCTCTTCTCCTCATCTGTATTTTCTTTATAAATATTTTATTTTCAAATTGTCACAAAGCAGGAAAATAAAATCTTTTTATCTGATTGCATGCATCGATCCAATTTCCTCATATTATTTTAGTTAAAATTTATTTTTTAACACTGATTAAAACTTTCTGAGCCTTTTGCTAACCAATGTGTACAACATATAAGAAATAACAATTTAGAAAATACGCTTTTGCATTAGATAAACGTGCCTAAGAAAAATAAATCACGGGAGTGCGTAAATTGACACTGGTCTACTGATTAACTGATGTAAGAACTGTCAAAAAAATATTATATTTCAAAGTAAAAAATATTTCAAAATAGTCGGATAAATATTTAAAAATAGAAAAAAAAATGAGGTTCTGAAAAAGAAATCCCCCAACTGAGTTTATAGAAAATACCGAAAATAAAATGGAGTAAGACTTTCGAACTATATATTTTAATCTGGACATTAGTTTCAATCCCAGAAATTAAATTCATTCATCTGTCATTGAAATTTATAATTTATTTTATTTTCTCTTGAAAGTGCGTTTTTCTTTTATGTTTTGCGTTGTCTTCTCTTCTAATCACTATCAGTAATATTTTTTTTCGTTGGCTTTACTTCAGCAATTCCTATATCATCTAAAAGAAATATTGTTTAGATATTTTATTATTATTAATTGTCTATAAACTTATTTATCACTGATTTATATGTTTCATAATAAATGATTGAAGCGTAAGATTTGGAGAAGAAAGATTTCGTCTTCTCAAAAATATGTTTCCTTTTTAAATAGTGCAATTTTAGTTTATTTATTTCTTCAATGAGTTCTTTTATGCAGTAGTTTTTAAGCAATTTGTTTTTTATATTTAACTGTTTTGGCTTCAAAGGATTTAAATTTTTTTATGAAAACTTTACAAAACAAACTAAGCAAAAAGAACTTTATTTATAAAATTGGATATCTTTCTATAAAACCCTGATCATGAGGATTATGATATAAATCCTCATCAGGATTATGATTTTGTAATAAATCAAATCTTTGGAATGAATGAAAAATAAATTTAAAAAATTAAAATTTCTTGTCTACAACTAGTGATCAAATGAACAATTTATTAGTTTTTAAGTTTCGTTACGTTCTGCTGATATTCCCGACCCTTCCTCACACAGGTCCTTATGTTACTGGTAGCAGGAAGTTGAGGGAGAAAGAAAAAAACATTTTATTTCCCCCTTCCAAATTTGAAACATTTCTCAGTTGTAAGAGGAGAGGGAAGTTTGTCTTTCTTAGTTTTACTCACACTAAATTTATGTTGTGCTGTTATATTTTTGTTGTGTTGGCATATTTTTGACATCAGAGAACATCTTTCGCTAGATTCGCCCTTCCCATGACTGCTGTAATAATTCATCTTCGTTTTAGCTGTTCATTTTCTTTACTGAAAGTTGAAGGTCACTGAGGAATTCACATTTTATAGGCTGTCGTTACATTTGACCATTACTATTGTAACTAATGAATGAAATAGTTATTCTTACTGGTTGCACCTAGAATAAAGTGACCTGGCTTGTGTAGAAAGTCTGCATGCGTTTCAACACATTCCACTGCTTTCTTCAAATTCTTTAGCTCATTTCCCCTGCTAATTCTACAGAATTCCATTCATACGTTTTCTTTTATCTTACTGTTACGTGTCAGATAATTCCTTGCTTTATGTCGGATTATGAAGATGACATAGAAAATGAACTCGAGGATGAACTACATTTCTTTTGTTCTAAGAGTGAAGAATTTGATTTGATTGGTTTGATTATATATAAGATTGGAAATATTTGAAAATAATTAAAAAGTTGGTGATTAGTTTATAGTTTGTGAATAGTTTATTTTTTATTGTGTACTTATTCTCAAATTATGATTGGTTATATGTGTTTCTTCTGTAAGTATCATTTTTAATTCTTTCTTTTAATAATAAGTGCATAAAAGAAAGACTTCGAAGTAATAAATGTTTTCTAAGTATAGATTTTATATTTTGAAGATTATTATTTTTCAAGTGTATTTTCACGCATGTGATACTTGATAACAATCAATGTGGTACCCAATATTCCGCAAGGAGTTACCTTCTTTCTTTTAACTGTGAATAACTTCTGTTTCATTTCAAACTGTAATTATGTATTTGGAAAAGGATTCATAACCTTATTTATATGTAGTTCTTCATAATATAATTTAGTAAATCTAGTGGCATTTCATGCTGTATTGTATGTTAGTGGGAAAAAATGGAAGTGGGGCCTATATGATTTCTCTTATGCCACAATTTGCCTTAAATAGCTTTATGTAATTTGCCTTCTCCTTTTTGGTTCATTTTTGCCAAGATAATTTCTTGTTGAAACTTGATTGATTATGTATTTCTTTTCCTTTTGATATCTTGGCAACTGATGATGGTACTTGTATATGGAATTGGTCTAACTGTGTTTTTAACTTTTTATTTCGCTTTTTCACATAGGTATTCTCTCCAGGAAAATAACTGTACTTTATTTTAAATAATTTAGGCTTTGAAATTATTGAAATTGATGTATCAGATTGTTCTGATTCTGAACTTGGAAAACGAACTCAAAGCCCTGATGCTGCAAGTGAAGATAGTGAGAAAAGATCCACTGTTGAGAGAAAGATTCCCAAAGAGGATCATTCTAACCAATCTCATCCTCTTCCAGATTTGCTAGAAGCAAGTTCTGCTAAATCATATTCTGAAAATTTAATAAAGAGTACTGCTTCCTTAGTAAGTTCTTTAACTTCTATAAAACAGTTCTGTAATATAATTTATCAATTATTTTTCCTGTTATCTGGAATATATGTTGACCAAATATACTACTAGAAGTTAGCATACTCATTGTTTTGAGTTGTTTGTCTACTTCATATTTAAAGGAGTTTTTGAAAAAAGTTGCATTAGTTACAAAGTATAATAAGGAACCTGCATGAATTGGGCCATTACAAAATGTTTATTATTTTAAATAGTCTATATCTTAAAACTCTCTAAAATCAATTCAGAATCTAAAAAACTTACCCGAATTTTAAAAAAACGACTTAAAATTAGCCCAAAACGAAACTAACTTCACGTGACACAAAATGAGGCGAGGTTTGCTTGTGACGTCAAAGTATAATAACTTTACAAACGGGAGAAGTTAAACCAAAGTTTCCTATCGAGAAAAGTGTTCTAAAGGCGTTTTAATTTGAATTGCATTTTTAAAAAATAGTTTTCCTTTTTTGTTTATATCATATACAGTACAGAACCCGTTATCCGGAAATCAGAAAACCAAATTCGATACATTTTCCCACCATTTTTTAAAAAAAAAAAAAAAGTTTTTTCCTCATAAGATTTTAGGATTTTTCTTTCTTTTTTGAAAGATGTTTACCATATCATCATTTTAGAAATAATCATTACTGTATTGCTTCATCGTTTTTCTTCTTTTTAAAATTATTTCCTAATATTTTTTTTTTTAGTTGGGTTTAACAATAAAAAAAAACGGCTTTTGTAGCGATTCAGAAAACCGGAAAAATCAGTTATCCGGAATAGCGATGGTCCCGATTGTTCCGGATAATCGGTTCCCTACTGTATATAGTTTAAATATATATGTAGTGTATATCAGTTGTATCCTCCCCCTTGAGAAAATTTTTGTGGGCACCTTTCAGTTTAATGAAATAAAATTGAGGAAGGAAAAAATAAATATTGAAACTACTTTTTTTTTCAATAACTTTTGAAATTAATTCATTTTTCTTTATTTACACTGATTCATTTTTATTTATATTTGTCTATATATAAAAGTCTGAACTGTTTTGAAAGTTTTTATTTAATGAGTTGATCCCAATTAGAGGGAATGGAATGAATGAGATATGACCTGGAATTATAAGTTTGCAGGTATATAAAAAAATTTTAAAAATTATTTTTTATTATTAACTTCTAAAATATTTTCTTGCTTTTTTTTTTTTTTTTTNTTTTTGAAGAAATGTAAATAATGCTAAACCCCTATCATTTTTTATTTTAACTTTCATAATTTTTTCATCTAGATAAAATTAATTATTTTTTAACTCAAAACCCTTCAGCATAATGAAATAAAGTTGAGGAAGGAAAAAATAAATGTCAAAACTACTTTTTTTTCAATAACTTTTGAATTAAATTCATTTTTCATTATTTATACTGATTCATTTTTATTCATATTTGTTTAAATGTAAAAATCTGAACTGTTTTGAAAGTTTTTATTTAATGAGTTGATCCCAATTAGAGGGAATGGTGTATGACCTGGAATTAATTTTTTTTAGGTAAATTAATTTTTTAGGTAAATTAATTTTTTTTAAAAATTCTTTTTTATTATTAACTTTTAAAATCTTTCTTGATTTTTTTTTCTTGACGAAATGTAAATAATGCTAAACCCCTATCATTTTTTTACTTTAACTTTGATAATTTTTCTTCTAGACAAAATTATTTTTTAACTTTAAAAAAAAACCTGTGCACCAGTGTTTGCTAAGAATAAAATCCTTTCATTTTAAAGAATAAAAAAAAAAAAAAGAAAGTGATCTGCACCATGGCCAACTAGAAGGGGGAAGGCCGGAGAACGTTTTCTCTCGCTTCAACATTCCGTCTGATCTAGAAGTCTCCGTTGAAAACCGCTATAAGACTTTTAAACGCATCAATACCGCATTTTCGTTATTTTTATTAAAGGATAATTCAAAAAAGATTTTTAAGGAATTCTCACTAGCATATTTAAGATTTTTAAGTTTAAAATAATATTTTTCAAATTAAGTTTGGAAAATAAAACTTTGCGTTTTTTCTTTTAACTTATTGTCTTTGGGATTAAGAAAAATTTACTTATCGATATTATCTTTGATGTCGCTTTCTAGTCTCAGATAGATAAGTCTCGTAATTTAAAAAAAATAATAAATAAAAAGAAATCGGATCTTTTTGATTCAAATAGCATTTTTTTATATTTTAATACACTGTAAGAACTTTGATTTATGATTAAAAAAAACACAGTTTTTTGACTTTTTAAATGAATATATATATATATATATATATATATATATATATAACAGTTGATTTAAATCAAGCTAATTTAAATCAACAAACCCTGGTCTTAAATATAAAAGATACTTAGAAATTAAATTATAGAATAGTATTTTTTATACTATTTATTTCGATTTTTATATTTTATTTCAAGTATAAAAATGAAAATTAGCTAGGATTAGATTTTTTATTTCAAGCATAAAAGTACTACATAACAAATATGTAAATAAAAACATCTGCATGGTTAGATTTTTTGTTTATTAATAATTTAAATCAAAAAACAGAAAAGAGTTTTTATATTTTTTTCATTTAAATTGTGTCAAGTATTAAAATGTGTATTACAGAATTGCATATAATGAGATTTAATAGAAAAAATTTAAATTAATAATAAAACTAAACAGAAGATACATTTTAGTAAAACATCAAACTGCTGTTAAAAAAATCTTATGTTTAGATTATAATAAATAAAATTACAATACTTCGTTCTATGAATTTATTTTAAGCATTGCAGTGCAAAATAATACAAGTAAAAAACAAAAATCTTATGAATTGATTAAATTGAAAAAGTAATTAAATAAATAAACACAAAACAACATCTTTTTGTAAGTCTTTTATTTGTACATTTTTGAGTCTAAAATACTATATATTATTTAAAAGCTGTTTGAAATTCAAAATAAGAACCAATATATTTACAAGTTGTTGAATATTAAAATGAAAGAAATAATATGTGAAAAACATAATAAAAAGTCCAATTATGTGCCAACATAAAACAAGAATGACTTGCAGTCATTATGTTAATTTACAAGTACTAATTGAGAATTTTGAAATATGCAATATTTCAATCAATCTTTTGGTTATTACTCAGAATGTAATATAGTTCCATATTTTATGAAGAAAGAAATTTATTTTAAAATTATCATTAGCAGAAATACTGCATACTGATAAGACGTGCTTGAATATTATTCCAGTATGTGTTGATTATTTTCCATTTCAGTTCTTTAAAGAAAAAGCAACGACTAAAAAACTGCAGTGAAAAATTAAGAAATAGAAAAATAATAACACTTTGCTTATATATTTTATATTAGTATTATAATAATAGCATTCCACTATTAATAATTTTTTAATATTGTTTGAAAATATTCAGCCATTTTGATTAAAGATTTTAATTTCATAAGGATTAATTATATTTTGAAGTTGTATAGAAACCTCAAATGAGTTTTAAAAAACAAAAATTTTTACTTTATTTTTATCCAATTTATACTTGAAATTTACATGCAACATGTTAGCTAGTTTAGGTTCAAATTTTATAAAAAATAGTCTCTGATTATGTTACAGACAACTATGAATTTATAAAAATTGTGATGCAGATTGTCTAAATAAAATCTGCTACTAGAATTATTATAAATTCTGATTATTATAAAAACAGATTTATGCAAAGTTACAGGTAATTGCTTTTAAAGTAATGAAAAATCAGTTCACTAATTGTTACGCATGCTTATTAATAAATATCAATACAAGACAAAATAAAATATAAAAATGAGCAATAATACCTTAAAAATGAGATTTTTTTTATTACCATTAAATCAATTATAAAAAAGAAACATTATTCATGACCAAGATTGAGATAATAGTATTACTTATTCCTACAGTTAATTCTAAATAATTTATAAAAAGACACATCAATAGATTTCAACTTCATAACACTCTACTTCAATAATTTGTAACATGCTCCTTTTGTTTACACCTTACTCTTTTTGTTTATTCTTGTATAAAAATTAAAAATATATTTTGATGCATCATAGTTTCAATTATATACAAAATTTCCAGACCTATGTAAATTCAAAACATCAAATTATAAAATAATACGATTGATTAATAATAAATAAGTGATATAATAATTATACTATAATTACCAAGAATAAATAGTTAAATATACCTAAAAGTATAAATAACGTTTTTACAGTAAATAAAAATCAGCGGACTGATAGTTATTTATAGACTAACACATTACAAAGTTTTATAATTAAATGTGCTTCACGTGGTAACATTAAAATATTATTATAGAACTTATTTATCGAATATAATATTTTGTAATTACAATTGTTATATAAATTATAAAAATTTACGACAAGGAATTCAATAATTTTGCAACACAATAAACAAACAGATGGAAGTATTAAGCAATTTAAGACACAATGTTTTAAGCAAGTTATTTAGAAAATTTATCCAATTTTCTTTTTTCTTCTTTATTATTATTTTCAGCTTTACGCTTCTTATTAACATTATTTTTTTTCATCTCAATTTTGTTCATTTTCTTTAATACACATTCATCAGTTTTAGCTTTTGAATAGTTATTTAAACACACATTAGAAAAGGAATTGATAACTTTTAAAACACGCTTAGAAAAATTATAGTTACATTTTTCACAAATTTGTTCCATATCAACTATTGATGTTTGATACAAATGTAATTCAGTTAGCTTAACTAAAATGTTATGTTGATTAACAGATAGAGATTGATACAATTTTTCATACTTACTAGATATTAATTTCTGAAAAATAGCAAAACAAACAGCAACAATATAAACAATGTCACAAGATGGATTTTTCAACCCTCCTCTATTAAGCATATCAAGATAGGAACTGTTATGAAATTTTTCAGTTTCTGATGACAAAAGTTTGGTATCAAAATCCACATTCAAATCGAAAGGACTGAGGTATAAATCATAGCATGCATCACAATCAACATTAAGCTTGTATACACAGTATCCAGTAATATAAGTCAGAATTTCAATGTTATCGCAAGACACATTTAAATCCTCAAGAATATCGATAAATGGCTCTATGTTTATTTTTTCCATAGGAGATTCAAAGTCGGAGAAAAAAAGCCGGAGCGAAATATCACCATACGTTTTCGAATGCAACTTCAGCAGTGATTTTACCCGAAGTTTACGCTCAGATTCAAGGACTTGTTGCAAAGATACATGATAATTCGAACCAGACAACTGTCGATACCGTGAAAAACGGAATTCCAGGACATCACTGTGAAATTTAGTAGTTAGCACATATCTTGCACCATTTTCCAAGAGTCTTTTTGATACGGCCACAATTGTTGACGTTGTTTGAATAAGGGCAAAAAATGTCTCTTTAGAGAAACAACCCTGCCTTGGCAATTGCTTCATCTCTTGCCACTTTTTAATCCACAGTAAAAAATTTTCCAAAAACTCAAAGCTTTCAGTATTTGCTTCACTGAGTGGAAGAGAGTCAAAACTTCTTATGAAAATCCCTTTATTCTCATGTGAAACATTTAAAATATCCCACCATCTCTTTATCAATTTCAAGAAAGCAATGGTGTCTTCCACTGTGTGTATTGAGGCTATATTTTTTTCTGAAAGCTGCTCTAGAGCAGCACTATTACTTTCGTGAAAAACATTTAGTGCTGGCAGCACATTCTGTCTTTCCATTTTTGTTGGGTAAACAGTCTTTACATTTAACTTAAATGCAAGTTTAACAGCATTCTGTTTTTCATACTGAAACATATTTCTCAGTAGGCAAAATCTTGGCTTCATAATATTACTCAAATTATTGAAAACAGGACAAACAAAAGTTTTTTCCACATCTGCTTGACATATCCAATTATTGCGTATTGTTTTCATAATATGAACTGGATCAATAATCAAATATAGTGGGGCCCCACTTGCTGGGTTTATCGAAGGTTCACTCGATAATTTACATCCAGCGAGTTCTTTAAACATATTTCGGTTAACAGCATTATTATCAGCAATAAGAGAAATTACATTAAAATTAGCCTTATGCAAAATACATAAAGCTTCTTTTGTTAGACGGAGAAGGTCTTCAGCAGTCATTCCGCTCACAGGCACTAACGCCACCACTTCCTCATAAGGGGAATATATCGAAGCAATCATAAATGCTTGAATAGATGTAGCTTCCACATTTTCTTTATTCTCTGAAAAACCAGTAATTTGATTAGCTTTATATGAAATCTTTGGCTTAATGTAAATTTCATCAAGTGACAAATTTACGAGCCTTTCATTTTCAGTAAGCTTCTCACATTTGGCTTTTATATAATGGATATTATCCTCTACTGTTGTGCTACAGTTCAAGCTTAACACATTTAGCAACTTTTTAATGGAATCCACACAGGGAAGTGTCAACATTTTACAATTTAATATTGATCTGTAACAGGATGGGGACACAACAAATAAAGATGCAGCAAAGCGATACATGTCGGTACTGTATCTCCTGGAGGTCTTAGGCTTTAATGCCAATTTTAACTGCTCACAAATGAATATTAGTTTTTTTTTCTTTTCACAATCTGAATATTGATCCATTAACTTGTGAAAGTGAGCTATAATTACATCTAAATCATTCACTTCAACATTTGTTTTTGAGGCGCTTTTAACCATGGACACAATGTTTTCTAGTTGGCTCCAAAAAGTTAATACGCCATTACTTAGAAGATGCGAGTATTGTTTGGAATCTAATTCCTGCGAGCCAATAAAAATTTGCAAAGATAAAGAAGGTGCAATCTTTATACTCTTAACAACTTCTGGGCAGTTATCAAAATCCATGAAAAGAATAAGTGTAATGTTTTTATTTGTTTTTAAGGCAAGGACATCGTCTGGTAGTTCGATTTTAGATTTAAACAATGAATTAAAATCATCAAATGACTTAATTCTGTCATTAGCCAAAAACTCATTAAATTTCCTTTCATCAGTTTTTGCTATCTTTTCATCTCTGCTCATTCTTTTAGATGAAGAAACTTCGGACAAATATTTTGGGCAACCAGGAAATAATGTTGGTATCGAACCAGCCTTCAATTTCGGCCGACTTCTTTGAACTTTAACCAATTCATTATTTTTCCAATACTCATCATATCTTATAATGCACTCATCAGTGAAATGTTTTTCACACACAACACTTCGATCTGAAGGTACAAAATTTTCCCTGGGTATCTTCTTAATCCATAAATGTTTCACTGTTTCGTCTTTAGGGAATTGAAAAACTGAAACATATTCTCCAGTTTTATCATAATTTGATTTGCACGCAGTAACACAACATCTATCAGGCATTGTAAACGAATTAAAAATTGATAACAACGCCTAACTTTAAGCAAATAAGCATGTAACAGATTAATTAGAACTAAACAAGCATGTAAACTATTCAATATAAACAACGCACGCCACTTCCATTTAACTTTCACTTCGTCTTCGTTTCAGCGACGTTCGCCGGTCGGACGGAATTTGTGACGTCACAAGTAAACATAAGCTAGTTCTCCGGCCTTTCCCCTTCTAGTTGGCCATGTCTGCACTGCATTTCATAAACATTTTAATTCAGTATAATGAATTATTCATTCAGAGAAGCTTATCAGTCAGAAAAACATTCTTTTGGAATTAAATTATAATTAAGTAAGTTTCTGTAAAATGGTCTTAGCAACAGTATAATGCAGTAGTTGCAGACAATTGGCAGGTTTTTTTTTTCATCGTATTTGATGGCTTTGCACCAAATTTGTCTTTTTTTTCTCCTTTTGGTACACTAAAAAATAATTTATTTGGCGTGTTTAACGTAGGAACTATTGCACATGGTACAACGCAACACTTGTAGTTTTTGCTTGGAGCCATTTTTCAGAATTTATACTCAGCGCAACATATGCTTTCGCCGTTTCAAAACATGATGGGAGTCGTGGTTGTACTATATCGTGACGTCATCAGAGCGGATGGGAAACCTAGCAGCGATTTAGGAGGCGGAGCTAATCAAGCGATTTTAACTATTAATAACAAAAAATAGCTAGTCATCGCACCGGTCTGAAATTGGTCTCTATCTTTATAAAATGGCATGATGTTTCATTTTAAAACACAAAAGAAGAACATGCTGGCTCCTCATTGTTTAAGACTTTAGAAATACTCTTGTACAATTTTACAATTCTCTTTAATTTGTACTTAGGATGCTGGGTCCAAAATCTTTAAAAAAAAGCTGTGTTTTTTTATTTATTATATGTCAATGGGTGCATTAAGAAAAAGAATTTGAAAACAATTACAAAATTCACAATATTTTTCTTTTAGGATTCAAAATCTCTGGATCAAAGTTCAAGTTCCCCACCTGATTCTTCATTTTCCTCTTCAACTAGTTTTAAAGGGCGTTATGAAAATGGATTTTCTCCCCAGATGCGATCAATTTCCTTTGCTGAAGAAATAAAAACTGCAGTGTTAGAATGGAATTCAAAAGGTTTAACTTTCTTACATACATATTTATTTTTTCACAAATTCCAAATATTTCAAACCTTTTTTTTACTTATTTTTGAAAACAATACTAGCACTAGGAATTGGCCTAAGTAGTAAAACTATTTATTTTCTGTTTTGTAACTAATTTTTTTTAGTATTGTTTTTTTCGTATGCTTCATCATGTTATAAGGAGAGTTTTTATCAGTTTCTTTTTAAATAAGTAACCCATAGCAGTAACTTTCTTATAGTTTTGACTAACTAGGAAACACTCTGCAGTGTTATGAAAATTTTTGTCAAACAATCCTCTGTTCAGAAATTTTTTTTTATCTAATGCCTGTCTATTGCTAGGCAGTTGAAAAGAGTATAAAAATGTTTTCCTTATGAATATAAAATTTTCCCTATTGTTACTCTTGTCTTTGAAAAATTTTCAAAGCTAATGTGTTAAAAAAATTATAATTCCTTTTAAATAGTTTTCAAAATGCTAATATACAGTGAAATAGATTTTATCTACAAATAAAGTACTTATGTTATCTGTGATAATTGATTTTAAATCTTTAATATAAATTTTATTGAAAAATTATATTTTTATTTCCTTTTTGTAGTGGGTGGTTATAGTGAAAATAATTTATCACGGAGTCCACAAAGTTTAGATAATTTGGAACAAGTTTCAAATAGTAGCTTAGATAGATTTATTGAACAGCACCAAGTTGTCCCTCCTAGTTATCAGCATGCAACTGGTGAAAGTTTCGGTTATCCAAACTGCCTTCCAGTAACACCTTTAGATAGAGATGATGATTTATCTCCTCTTGCTGCAAGTACACCATTGCCTGTTGAAATTCCTCCAAAGAAAAGGAACATGATTCAGAGTGATAGACTGTCAGCAAATTTAGGTATGTAAACTAATATAACATATTAATGTTGAGGAATGATTAGTGCTGACACTGTGCTGCTATTTTGAAAAACAGTTGATTATCTATATCTACATATATATATATATATGCAAAGTATTATACAAGATAAAGCTAAATA